TTAAGGGGGGGCTTAAAGGGAAGCTTAAGGGGAAGGCTTGAAGGGAGGCTTGAAGGGGGGCTTAAAGGGGGGCTTTAAGGGGGGCTTAAAGGCTTCAAGGGGGGCTTAAAGGGTGGCTTAAAGGGGGGCTTAAAGGGCTTAAACGGGGGGGAAGGAGGAATAAAAGGGGGCTTAAAGGGGGGCTTCAAAGGCTTTGAAGGGGGCTTAAATTAAAGGACTTAAAGGGGGGGGGCTTAAAGGGAGGCTTAAAAGGGGCTAGAGAGGCTTAAGGGGGAGGGCTTAAGGGGGCTGAAAAAAGGGTGGCTTAAGGGCGACTCTAAACATTACTTTATCTTGAAGATGAGAGAGAAGGGATTTATTCTAAATTCCACCCCCCTCGAATCTTGTTTTGTTTTTTGGATTTCGTTCTTCAAAACTAGAGAAGTGAGACTCTAACTTCCCTTTGAAAAGAGAGAGAAAGGAATTTATTCTAAATTCCACCCCCCTCGAATCTTGTTATATTTTTGTGTTTTTTTGGGATTTCATTATTCGAAACCAGAGAAGTGAGACTCTAAACATACATTTCCCTTTACGAAGCGAAAGAAGGGAATGTATTCTAAATTCCACCACCCTCGAATCTTGTTATACATTTTGTGTTTGTTTTTGGGTTTCATTCTTCGAAACCAGAAAAGTGAGACTCTAAACATTCATTTCCCTTTACGAAAAGAAAGAAGGGAATGTATTCTAAATTCCACCCCCCTCGAATCTTGTTTTGTTTTTTGGGTTTCATTCTTCGAAACCAGAGAAGTGAGACTCTTTTTAAAGGGGAGCTTAAGGGCAATTCCACCCCGCTCGCTTCTTCTTTTGTTTTTTGTGTTCATTACTCGAGTTTCAAGGAGCAGAGAGTTCATAGCAGTGACGTGGCGCGGGGCTAAGCCGAGAACCCCATGTTTTGTTTCAGAGATGATTCATATGCTTCCACGCGAGCTTGCCCGGCAGAAAAAAGCGGGGGGGTTGGGGGGGGCGCAGCCCCCCCCATTTGCATAGCAGTGACGTGGCGCGGGGCTAAGCCGAGAACCCCATGTTTTGTTTTGTTTTGTTTTGGACATGATTCCTATGCTTCCACGCGAGTTTGCCCGGCTTAAACAAGCGGGGGGGTTGGGGGGGGCGCAGCCCCCCCCATTTGCAAACACGATGCTCGCATTAGGCCTCTTAAACTGCTGCCTAAATCCTCCACCGAAGGCCCAGCAGGTATTAAGCCTCTTAGACGTCTTAAACTGCTGCCCGAACCCATTACGCCTTTTAAACTGCTGCCCAAACCCTCCACAAAAGGCCCAGCAAGTATCAGGCCTCTTAAACTGCTGCCTAAACCCTCCGCAGAAGGCCCAGCAAGTATTACGCCTTTTAAACTGCTGCCCAAACCCTCCAAAAAAGGCCCAGCAAATATTAGGCCTCTTAAACTGCTGCCTAAACCCTCCGCAGAAGGCCCAGCAAGTATTACGCCTCTTAACTTGCTGCCCAAAGGCCCAGCAAGTATTAGGCCTCTTAAACTGCTGCCTAAACCTCCACAGAGGGGGGGGCTTGGTTGCGGCTTCAGGGGGGAGCTTTAGGGGGGGCTTTAAAGGGGGCTTAAAATGAGGGGCTTAAAGGGGGGGCTTTAAGCCCCTTAAAACGGGGGGGCCTTCAAGGGGGCTTTAAGGGGGCTTTTTAAAGGGGGGCTTAAAGGGGGGTTTAAAGGGGGGCTGAAAAGGGGGGCTTAAAGGGGGGCCTAAAGGGGGCTGAAAGGGGGGCTTAAAGGGGGGCTTAAAGGGGGGCTCAAAGGGGGGGCTTCAAGGGGGCTTTAAGGGGGGGGCGTAAGGGGGGGGCTTAAGGGGGGCTTAAAGGGGGGGCTTAAGGGGGGGCTTAAGGGGGGGCTTAAGGCTTGGGGGCTTAAGGGCTTGACCCTTTGCCCCCCCCCCCCCCGAAGGGACCCCCTTTGCAGGGACCCCTTTGAAGGAGGGCTTAAGGGGGGCTTAAAGGGGGGCTTAAAGGGGGGCTTAAGCCCCCCTTTGCGCAAAGAGGGGTGGGCCCATCCTCGGGTTGTTAGGCTCATCGTCGATGGCTGTGTCAGTCACCTTCCCAGTGCGAATTGGTTGCAGCTGAAGGCTCTGCGGCACGGTTCCACCTTCGTGTACAACTGTAAAGCGGGTTTTGCTCGTGCCACATCTTCACTTACCAGAGGCTTGGGGTCCTTGATCATTCTGGCGCCTGCGTATGGCGATGGGCTTGGAGCGTGCTTCCAAATGGCTGCTTGTGCCACTTACAGGTTCATAGACGGGCGTGAGTACGTCAGAACCAAGGCAAGTATGTGGTATTAAGGATCCAGAAAGTCGACTGTGTGTTCTTCCAAAATGCAAGGCTGGAAACGGCGCTGCCAATATCTCAAGCATCTCTTTGGAGAAACACAGCTGTTGACCTTGCCCAGAAAGGGCAAAACAGCCAGTCGAACAAGCAGTTGTAATAACATCGAAAAACCTACGAAGGGCGCCCAAATGCTCCACTAAAAATGTTTGAAATGCATCATGTCCCATAACAACCCGCCTACAAGGGGAAAACGCGGGAAGCTTTGGCGCTTCCATAAGACTGCCTGGCTCCAAGGGATGCCACTGTTTGTCTGACACAAGCGCTCCTTGATTTGCAACACCACTTTGGAGCATTGGAGAATAGATTTGGTGCCCAAAGGTGAGCGCAATATCGGTCAGAAGCCAAAGGCTTTTGACAACTCGCGCAAAGACTTTGCTGTCTCCTTGACGGAAACCCAGCTGCACGTTTCCATCCAGCGCCCTGCCGGACTGCGGAGTGGACGACCTAACAGGTACTGGACCTGTCTCGTTGGTCATCCATGGCTCTGCTTGGGTGCCTAGTGCTCCGCGCCACGTTGAAGGCCAAAGTAGCCCCGTGTACAAAATTCTAAAGTTCCGAATGCTAAATTACGAAGCAGGCCTTCCCGAATACTAAATTACGAAGCCGGGCCTCCCCAATACTAAACTACGAACAGGCTGTTTGGCGAGGCAGAACGCATTTGTGACACACGAAGTGGTTACGACCGTGTATGCTCGGGGAAATTCTCGATACTAGGAAAACATCGAAGGTGTTTTTCTCTCTACCAGAAGCTTCTCTCGAACTATTCTAACGAGAGAGCTATGAGAGGACATGTGTGCAACAGTCATGTGGTGCTTGAATGTGCTAGCAGCATGCAGACATGTCAATTGCTTTGAAATTGCTAAGCTTGGTTTTGAGAACCTTGGTACATGAGAACAGTAGCTATGCATAGTGCATGAAAGCTACTTGAAAGAAAGGCCATGGAGCATGTGCTCGTTTGGCCATTTGGGCCAAAGGCTGTTCAGAAAGGGAGAGCAATTTTAAAGTGGGAAGGGAAAGGGCTCCGGCGCTAAGAACACGGAAAAAGCTTTTGATGTTGTTGTTCTTACCCCCTCCTGCACCCCCCTCCGCCCCCCCCCCAAAGGCCAAGATTTCGAACCTGCGTTGAACCCAGGTTCGAACCCCCCCACAACCTTCCTCCAGTTTGATGTGCATAAACGGGCACAACGTCTTTGACCATGCTTTGACCATGTGTTGAATGGCTTGCTTTCCACAGCAAGTGCTAGGCGACCAAGTCGTTCCTGCACTGTTGTGTTGGTAGTGGTGGTCGTAGGAGTGGTCGTAGTCTGGAAGTGGTAGTGTTGGGGTTTCAGTTTGGGGTTTAGATTGAAACTTCAGATTGGTTCCAGCTTCCGAGTGAAGGTTTCCCAGTAAACAAAGCGGGAGAGTGTTTTGCACCCCCATTTTGCCGTTAGGCAAAAAATCTAAATTTTTGAAGCATCGAAGAGCTCACCCTTGGCCCCTTCGAACTCCTTCAGGGTTTCATTAAAATGACAGTGCCCCATACGGGCGGATGCCGCTTCGAGGAAACGGCAGATCATTGTGTGTATTTTCTATGCTGAGGATTTTTTGTTGACATTCACTGAAGCCTGAGTTTTGTTCTTCGGAACAAATCACATGGTGAGTGTCATTTGGCTGTAGGTTTTGTTAATGGTCACAATGCAGTCTGCAGAAGACATAACCGGGACCGCAACCAAAGGCAAGCCGGTGGTCACATTCCTTTTTGTCGAGCGACGCTGTAGTGTCAGAACTCTGCGAGTCAAAAGTGATCCATCTTGATGGGGATCCCGCCAGCTCCCTTTCTGGGGTAGCGCAAAATGCTTTTCAACACTCTGGAATGGGTACGGCGCCCACGTACTTGCGGATTTGTCTCAGGCGCCTGCGATGCATCTTCCCCTCAAGCATGGCGTTGGTGGGCGTTGTAATGTTGCACACGGGGCATTTTTGACGTATTTGTCCTCGGTGGGGCCGGGTGGCAATTCAACGCGGCGAGTGGGATGTGAAGCGTGGCGTGGATTGCGATGGTCGTGGTTGTCCATCCTTGCCGGTCGCGAGACGTGTGGCAATAGGGCTATTGTTATAAATTGGGCGGCTCCTTGTGTCGTTGACTCGTTGAACTGTCACGATACACAGCATCTATTTCCGCGAGCCCTGCACAGCACCTTCGAATGTTTACTCCAGAGTCGCTTCTGCAAGGGAGCAGGAGTTTTGAAACCCCAGCATGCAAACCAAAAAAACCCGCATTGTGCGTTCCTTTTGTTGGCCACTCCTTGACGCAATTCGTCGTTTTACCTCTCAGGGTTTTTGAGGGCAGAACAGGCCTGCCCGTACGGGAGTCCACCCCCATATTCGTCCGCAGTTGGTTTGGGACTCCCCTTTCTGATTTGCAAGTTTCTTTTCGATGCGTCCGCAAATTTGTTTTGGGGGAACGGGCCGACGAGTGGGCCTATGTGACTGCATGGATGCACTGACTTGGCAAGATGACACGCATCCAGGTTCTAAGACCCATGGGCCTACTGCTCTGACACGGATTTCTTCTTTTGCTCCGCCCCGAAGGAAGTACGTCTCGGGATGGGAATAGGCATGAACGCAAGGGGGCCATGGCTCCTGCAGCGACCTATTCGCCACATAACTATCGGGTCCTGGCAGAGGCAACCATGTGATTTCTAGTGAGTCCATGGTTCGCAGTACGCGACAGAAGTGTCCAACGCATTTTGTCACGCCTTGCAAGCTTGCCAGGCTGCTTCTCAATGTGCAGATCTGCGTAGGGCATCGTGTCACTTGATGACCATTGCCAGTGACCTTGTTCGAGCAGACGGTGAGAATATTATGTTTTTGCAAAACTTGAGGTTCCACTGCGCAAAATGTCAGTTTGAACGAACTCTGCCAAACTTAGCTGCGACCAACACAGTCGCTTGTTCAAGTGTGGAACGGGTTGCAAAGAATGAATTTCTGTTGACTGTAGACCGCTTTGCGTCTTTGTGTGTGACAGTCCGCTGCGTGCTGCCACAAGCCTGGTTGAACTCCGCTTCTAGAGGCAAGAGGAGCGTAATGTTGTAAAAAACCGTCTTTAAGAGCAGGCGCATGATTGCTTCCAAGGAGGCACAGCAGAGCCAGGTCACATTGGTTTTCATAATGCTGATGGCCCTTGCAGCTTTGATGTGCTCGGCTGTGCCGCATGCTCGCGCTGAGGAGCCCCACTGTTTCTTATTTTGCCTGTGTTGTGCTCTGTGCGACCTTTGTGCCGCTCCGTGTTGCTCTCTGTGGTGGTGCGCTGCTCACTGTGATGCGCTTTCCCGAGGCCCTGGTGCTTCCAGCTGTCGAAGGCGTTGCGCTGACCAGTCCTGCCCGAAGCCCGGAATTTAAGCTGGTTGGGCATCTTCTCGCATTATTCGTAGGACTTCGTCTTTTATGTTTCCAAGGATGAAATCCATCGTGCGCTGGCACCTGCGTGGGAAAGCTTGGTGGAAGAGCGGAATGCCGCAGGACTGGAACTTTTGGGAATGTTCGGTGGACAGCGGCTTTATGGGGGGCTCTGAAGGCCTCGTCCCAGCCAATCAAGAAGGCCAGCCGCAGCCTCCCATGGGCTCAGCCCCCAGCAATCTGAAGGAGTTCTCTGAAAGAGTTCTCAGATTCTGCGAGGCGATGCCTGTGCTGAGGCCGCGAAGAGGCGGCCTTTCAGTACAGGCGTGTGCAAGATGGCCAGGCGGGTACGGAGTCTACAGGAGAAGTTTCGCTGTCCGACTGAAGCTCAGGTAGATTCGGCTCGGCTCTTGCTCGTCTTCGGGTTGGTGCCCTCGGCTAGGCAACGAACAGAGACATTTTGAAAGCGGACCTCGGATCGACTCTCCGGCTCATTGCGCCACTTCGTGAGGCACCTGGACCAATCCACTGCGGACCTTTTCTGGCATGAGCGTAACGAGTCACAGCCGAAGGACACTGGGTAGCTTGTGCTGCTGCAGCAAATTGTGGGACCCTCTTTTGTTTGGCGGCCCCCTGGGGCCCAAAGGGGCACATGAATTTGTCTTCAATCCCAGGCAGTTGGTCACCTTGAACCCTTTGCAGCGCTATGCTGATGGCTCCACGCCGCTTCACCTTGCAGCCACGTCTGGTGCTGAAGATGGTATGGGGATGAGAAGGGGTGCGCAGCCGGTTGATGCCAAGGGCACTTGTTGTGAAACGCCTTGCCATGCTTTGCTAAGGTTCGGCCTTCCGGAGTCCTTGGGTGCCTTGCTGGATGCCGGTGCCGACGTCCATGCGATTTCGGGGTCAGGCATTCCTAGCCATGCATGGCCAGTGAGCGAGCATCTGCGCGCAGTGATGCTGCTTGATTTAAGAAGTTTAAGAGTTCTTCTTGAGGCATTTGTCTCCAGCTTCTTGCACAGGTGTGCAACCAATCCATGCTGCCGCCATTGCGGGCCACCGACGTGCTGTGGATCTGCTCGTCGAGAATAGGGCAGATCTGAATGCTCCCCACGGCTTTGCAAGCAACTCCCCCTTGCCACTTGGAATCCCGTTAAGAGTGCTTTCGTGAAAGAACTTTATAGCAGCACCCTTCAAAAACTTTGAGGCGTTGTTGATTGCCGGAGCATCTTGCGATGCACAGCGAGGCATTTTGCAGCCGAGATGGGCCATGTGGACGTGGTACGGCGACTCTGCCAGCTTCGTGCCGATGTGGAGGCATCCAAGGCCCAAGGAGGCAGTACTGGCTTGCACGACGTTGCTTTAAGTTGACTTGTGCGTAGTTGGTGTTGGCCGCTGCTGTGTTGAACCTTGGCAAGGCACGGCCCTCCATACGGCCGCTGACACGAACAACTCGGCCGTGGTGGAGGAGAACGGGTCCAGCTGTGCCGTGCGTTTTTTGTTGCTCTAACTCTGACTCTTTCTCTTTATCTTTGTTTTTTTAATCTCTCTCTCGCTCTCTCTTTCTCTCCTTTTCTTGATGCGCTGTTTTTGAGTCTTTGTCTGTGCTCTCTCTCCTTTTTTGAGTCTTCTTCCTTGCTTGGTTTAGTCAGGCCCTCCTCTCGGAGCCTTGCTCGGCGGACCCGGAGGCGCTCCTTTTGAAGGACACGCCCGCTCTGTACCTGGCAGTTGCTTGGCTAGGATTCCATCCCGGACCCCTCGGTGAGAAGGGCCGCACTCCATGATGTTTCTATGATCTCCATGGCACCAGATGGGCCTCCTCTCCATAAAATCCCTCTCTCTCTCTCTTGCTCGCTCGCTCGCGATGTTTTGGTCTCTTCCTGTTGACCTTTTTGCTTCTTCTGTTAAGGCGTCGCGAGGGTTTCCGGATGTCATCGAGGCCCTACTCGCCGGCGATGCCAACCCTGACAGGAGCACGTGTGCCATCATGAGCACCGGGTGGGCTGAATTCTTTGAACTCCTTTGAGCACCTTGATGGCACCTTGATGGCTCCTGTGGCTCAGGACTCTTCGGCAGCGGATGGGGCAGGGCAAAGGGTCCAAGGTCCCGCAGCTCTCTATTTGTACACGCGCAGGGACCGCAGGGAGCATTTCTTTCATGAGAGGTGGCGGCGACGACGGACCCGTCGATGCCGATAATGCCGGGCAGCAGCCGCCAGGCGCCCGGCTTTGAGGAGGCCAACGGCGCTACAGCCTTGCCGCCCGGCACAGTGAAGTTCATTGTCTCAACATGCTTGCTTACATGGGGCTTACATTCTGCTTACATGCTTATGCCAAGCTTACGAAAAGGCCTTCCCTGAACGTTCTTCTGCCATCTTCATCTATTTCCACAGTAGCCTCGCAGCCACGAGGCATGCGGCCTGTGAGAATGGCCACCTCGCGGCCTGAAGCTCAGAAGATATAGTCAGGAGAGTCCTGCGAGAGTCCTGCGTGGTTCTCGTTTTCACTTCTGTGTGTTGTTTTTGGTTCAGTTTTGTATTTTCACTTGTTTGGGTTGAGTCGGAGCTCCTTGGAGCTGTTCGGCTTCGGAGGCAGTGCAGGCGCTGCTGGGCGGCGGGGCCCGTCAGCTGGCCACGATGCAAGGAAGCCACGTGCTTTTGGTTGATGTTGGCTGTGTTTGGATGAACCTTTTGTGCCTGCGTTCAGAGCTTTGTGTTGCTTCGCGGATGGATGGATGGAGATGGGACCAGGACGGTTTGAGGCGACAGGTGCTCTTTCCTCTTGTGGACCGTTCCAGGGGTGACGCCGCTGATCACCGCGCTCCAGTACCACCAGAGGGCAATCGCCGCGGTGCTGCTCGAGAGCAGGACATGCCTGACGTTTGTTGGAGTTGCGGGGGAGAGCGGCTTCTTGCGAGACGGAAGGGCTCCGGCAAATGTGCACGTGGTGTCGCCAGCAGATGGGCCGGTCACCCGGTCGCGTACCGCCTTGCCAAGGGTAGATACGCAGCCCTTTGCGTTCGTTTCAGACCTCACAGGCAGACGGCGCTGCACATTGCAGCAGCATATGGCTATTCTGAGGCCTTGGGCGCGTGATGAAGGGGCTGCGAGGGTGCGAGTGACTGGAACAGGTCGTGGCTGGCATCCTGCGTCAAGGAGGAGCTTCGGACGTGGAGGATAGAGCAGGCTGAGTAGACCAAGAGCCTGCGGTGGGGTGTTTCGTGCAAGCACTCCTGCAAGCTGAGCTTGAGTGGAGCAGGTCATACACCCATGGACTACGCCCGAGACAAGTTGGTTCTCTGGTTGTTGGGCCGCTTCCATGGTCGAGATGGCACTTTGGAACCTGGCATGTCAAGCTTTCCTTTGTGCTTTGAGAAAGAAGTTCCTGCCAGCCACGCCTCAAAGAAAAAGCTTAGTCCTGGATTTTGCAGCAAAGGATGAGCTGGTCCGTCGTCACCTGGGCGGCGGGCTGAACTCTCTGCTTCACAAAATCGATGAGACGAAGGCTCCTGCCCACAAGAAGGACCTGTACAAGAGCCTTACTCGCAGTGAGGCGATCAGCAGCTTGTGTATTGAGAGAAGCTTTCCACATGGGCCAGAAGCTCTAAGGATGTACTTGCGAGCGTACGAGGATGGCAGCCTGCCAGAGATCTCTTCTCAGCTTGCATTGCAGGCACGAGCAGGCGCCTTTTTAAGCTGTGCTTTGAAGCGTCGACAATGTGCAATTCACTCGAAATTTTCGACTTCCCCTACTGTTTCAAAACATTTTCGACTTCCCCTACTGTTTCAAAAAAGCACTTGCTGGGTGTTTTTAGCATGCCATTTTTTGGGCACAGGCCAGGCCTTTGATTGTCGATCCTGTTCACTGCCTGTGCTTGCACAATTGTTTAGGGAAGACCAGGCTATTGGGCAGACGTCGTCTCTGTGATGTCTTGTGTGGAGGCCCGAAGACTTGGGAGTCGTCGGACGCGTTGCGGCGCTTCGCGGTGGCACGATTCCTCCTGGCCGGCGCTAGCGACGTGCCCGTGGTCCTGGAGGAGCCCTTGCACATCCTTGCATAGCCTGGCATCTCCCCGATATCGTTTGATAGTTTCTCCAGTGCCTTTGAACATCTTTGGAGTCTTTTTGGGAACCTGATCGAAATCAGGCGATGCTCCACCGCAGTGAGGCCTCGCTGCATGCAGCTTTGGCGCTGCTCGGCATCCCGGTGCATAGCCTGCGCTACATCCCAGACCAGGCCCCTGTCTCTCTTTGGTTTGGGGATGTTTGGCTGTGGGAAAAGGCGGCGTAGGTCCGAAGGCTGAGGGCTCGCATGCATCGCCTGGCATTTCAATTTTGCGTGCTCGCGAGCTGCGAGGAGCTGTTTCTGCTGAACGGCCAAAACCTCCACGCCGTGCTGGAGGAGACGCTCCTTGTCGCCAGGAAGGCGGCCCAGGGCCTCGATGCCACGGAGGCCGAGAGGCTTCTGAGCCCGAGCAGCAAAAGAAAGAAGCAGCCAACAGACAAAGCAAATGAAAATCTGAGAGCATAAAACAAAGCAAACAAAGGACTAACAAGCAATAGATGGTACAACAAAAATTGTACAACACATTTTTGGCACTTTTGCGACATGTCCGACAGATGCCCTCTCCCAGGAGTCGGTTCCGAACCTCGGAAACCTCGGGGACCTGGGAGACCTCCGGTCGAGCCACACACGACCCCGAGCTCTGAGACACCACGATCCCTCTCACTACGTGGACTCTTCGGTCCAGAGTGGCCCATGAATGTCGGATCATGAGACATCGACGTCGTGAAGACCGACTCGACCACCCGTCCATCTCAAAAGTGTTGAGCAGCCCGCTTGAGCTCAGGATACCCTCGAGGCTCACACGCCCATGCCAGCCAAACGACCGGATCCGGGCAAAGCGCTTTGCAGGGCTGCCTTCGAAGCCTCTTCAGCTAAGCAGCGACGAAGCGGCGACGCGCGAAGCTGCAAAGCACGAGTCTGTGAAAGTGTAGGTGTCGCCTAGGTGCAGAGCCAGAGCTGAAGCTGCCACCTTTGGCTACGCAATGGTCAAAGGGACGCCCCACATTTCGACAGCTGCAGTCAAGAGTTTGCAGAACCTTGGGGACCTGGGCAGACATCTGAATGCTCATGAGAGCTGCTTGTTGCAGCCGTTTCTGGAGCAAGCCGCATGTTTCATTCATGTGCATCTAGACGGCTTTGACAACAGGTCGGGAGCTCTCGCACGGCAGGAACACGGCTTTGACTTTTGTTTTGGTTTCTAGAATCAGGCTGGATGAACTTGGAACAGAAGTTCCGTGAGGCCGCTGTCATCTGAGCTGATTCGCCTTCAGTGCTTCAAAACCAATGTGCTGTCCACAGGCTGTGGATATTGTTTTCCAGAGATGGACGACGTTGGCTTTGGCAATGGATCAAGGCAGCGAGACAAACTCTAGAGAACGAGCGCAGGGAAAGAACGGTCTGAAAAGCACATGGGGGGTACTGTGAGTCCCAGTCAAAGGTGGGAACAAGTTGTGAATGCCCAGCGGCCAGCAAGCCACGGAAATGCCTACAGTAAACATGCAGCGTGTATCCCTGTGTTCCTTGAATCTTGTTGGATACTCTCTATGCAGCTCAATTTCTCCCGTGACAAGACGAAGGGGAAGTTGCAATGTGTCGGCTCATCGTTTGGATCAGCGCAAGATCAGCACAGTTCTGTGCCACCACCTTGTATCCCATTTCTTTTTGCGTCGGTCCTGGCACCCTGGCTGCCAAACCAGCTCGCATAAAGCTCGCATAAAGCCGGAGCACACACCTTGGTCCGCAGGCTGGGGGGGCCGAGACTCGCATGCAAAAGGCAGGCAGCTCCAGGCTGGAAGTTCTTTCAGCTTCAGTTGCACACACCCCTTGCTAAAACATCTGCGAGCGGAGGCCGAAGTGATTGAGTACCTGGCCAATGCTTCAAGGCTATGGAGCAGAGTCTGCTCTGCTCTGTCTTTGGCGTTCTGCGCAGCTTTTGTTGTTACATCGCAGAAAGGATGAATCAAGCATTCAGGAAGAAGCGTCCTCCGAGCTGGGAAAATCCTGGTGATGTGGAGGACTATGCATGCCTGCTGCAAGTAAACTAGATGCGATCGTGGGCAGAGCTCAGAAATGGCTTGCATTGGTCGGTGCAGTGCATGTTAAAGGACCTCTCGCATTTCCTTTACATGCGGATAGACGAGTTGTTCAACACGGAAACCGATGATGGTAGCTGCGCAGAGGTTGCAGCTTTATGTGAAGGACTTACAATTCTGACATTTTACTGGTGATGGTCAAGGCATGGTGCATGCTCGTCCAAGGTCTACGCTTGTTCAGCACGTGTCACGCCGGCGATGGAGCTTTTGCAGACCAGGTTCTGCAGGCTGCGCATTGTGGCATGTTACCGCAAGCCCTAAGCTGCCTTACATAATGAGCTTTTGGCATGAAGGGGTCTTGTCATCAAGCTGCTGTGCCAATCTGTGAGAAGTGAATCAGCTGTGTTTCCCACGACCTGATGCAGTACATGACTACACTCAAGCTCGAGCTATCTGCAACGTTTTTGTCAGACTTGTCGGACCCAAGCTCCTCAAGACCTTTCCAAAAGTCAAGGATCCCAACGTCCGGATCCTGGCATTCTTGTTGCGTTGGCTTCTAGCCGACTTCTAGCCGAACAGGCTGGTTTTCTATCTGCAGGAATTGAGTATGCCACCGAAGAAGACGAGCTGCTCGACAAAGTGGATGGAATGGAGATTGAGGCAGATAGCCAAAAGCAGCAGACAGCTATGCCTAGCATGTCGCAGTGATGCAGGACGATTCAGAAGATCCGGAGGACAGCGATATCCAAGCTGAGGACCGATTGCTGTTTCTTGGGTTCACGTTTTGTGCAGTTCTTTGCAGACACAACAGGATGCTGAAGGTATTTTGCTACCTGGAAGTGAATCTACGTGTGGTCCTCAAGCATGGTGCGCACTTAGCAGGCTCATCGTCTCTGCAACATGAGGCACAACGGCAAAGGCTACGGGACCAGCAAGAAAGACATAGAACCCGTGGTGGATGATGATGGCTTCACTGCCGTCGTCAAGGGACGGCGCAGGCCACGCTAGCCCGGCGAAATGGAGCATGCAGCGCTTCCGACTGGAGTTCTATTGTACTTTATGACGCGGAGACTCCGGTCGTTTTGCAATATCCCGAGCGTAACGCATTTGAAGCTGATCCCGTCAAACTCTGGAGATGGGCTCGCAGACGTTCGGATGTTCAGTGCATGCAGCAAGCCGAAGCATCGCCGAGAGACACACACAAATCATGGACGTCGCACTGCAGACATTTCTCTCCAGCAAGCAAAGTTGCTGCCATGCCGGTTCGCCGTCGACTCGATGGTCAGTGCGAGCCCATGCGCTGTGTCGATGAGGGTCTAGAGCCTAAAGTTGCCACGAGTCAGCCTCCCAAGCCTGCTGCACATGGTGTGAGGTTTGCTGCCACACCAGACGACTCTTCAGTTGCCGGCATGTCGCTGTCCTCTACTTTCAAAGCTCGCAGAAGACGGCTGTTTGCCAGAAAGACAAGGGTTGTCAGGGAATCATGTGTAAGGCAAGTTCTCGAAGGTAGGCGGATGCAGATGAAATATCACGACCTTTGTTCAGCCATAGTTGGTTATCCTAAATCGGTGCAGCATGATCCTCCTACTCGTCCTATGATGGCAGTTCTGCCAACGCACGAGCAGCGTTGCCTTCCTTTGAGACAAGTCTGGACGGCGTGGGCCTGCAATACCACATCCTAAGATGGCGGTCTTCAACATCTGCTGCGGGGAGATGGCTCCGCCATCGCCGGCAATGTCAACTCAGCGACCTGCAAGGCCGGCAGAAAGTTTCTGGAGTCCGAAGTGGTGCCTGTGCTCGGAGCCTGTTGAGATAGCCCATCAGGATATCTCCAGGAGCGAGGTCGCATGCCAGGACCCTTCAGCCGGCAGGACTACACCCCGCAGGACCCTGCACACCGGGGATTTTGGCACGGAGCTGTCATACCACACGGCCAACACAGCCAAAAGCAAGCCCAAGGTGAACACATGCCAGTCCAGAAGGAGCTCTGAGTCACTGAATGTCCTCGCAATTTTTGAGCATGCGGGAGAGTGGTGGCTGCCGCATGAAAGTGCTTCGGTGGAGGACTGCGATTTGCTCCAGGAGTCCTGGCTGGGAAGGCTTCCAAGAAAAAGCTACCGGAACACGAGCACTACAGCCTTGCTTCAACACGGGATGAGCGGCTGGGTGCGACGCAGGGTCTCTGGGAGCCGGCATCGTTTCGTGGAGAATGGCTTCGACTTGGACCTGGCCTACGTGACGTCTCGCCTGATTGCCATGGGCTTCCCGGGTCGGGGCTCGGGAGCGTGCTTTCGGAATCCACACAGCGAGGTGAAGCGCTTCCTGGAAGGAGCCCACCAAAACCACTTTCGCATCTACAACCTCTGCGCTGAGAGACACTTTCGGGACAACGGCTTCCCGAAGGAGACGGTAGCATTCCCCTCGGCAGACCACTGTCCACCGGACTTCTCCGACATGTTGGACTTCTGCCAAGATGTTGAGACCTGGCTGCAGGCCGACGAGCAGAATGTGGCGGTCATTCACTGCAAGGCTGGCAAAGGGCGTAGTGGCACCATGATTTGCGCACTGTTGCTCTACTCGGGAGCTGTGACGGCAGCCCGGGATGCCTTGCGTTGGTTTGGTCGCATTCGTGGAGGCACACGGGTGGGTGTAACAATACCGTCACAGATTCGATGGATCGCTATGTTCGACATCTGGCTGCAGGGCTCTGTGCAGCTCACGAGCACACCGGTCAATACGACGACGGCCCTGAAGTATCGGCTGAAATCCTTGCGTGTCGGACCACTGCGATCTAACATGCTGAAGGACTCCTGCTTCCTCCAAATCGGCCTCGGTAGCCGACAAGCTTTCGAGGGTTTCAAATGGGTGCAGTGGCACCCAACCATGCCGGCAGAACCATCCCAAAATGGAGTTTGCGAGTATTTGGTGGAAAGCCCTTGGTGGACTGAAGTGGACGGCCTTGTGTGCGTCCGGCTCAAGACATCGAAGTCCTGTTTAGCGGCCCTGGCCCGGCCTCGGACGCACAGCGTACGCGCCTGGTGGCACCACTCCTTCCTACAGCGGAAGCTCAGGGAGAGCGAAGAGGTGCTTGTGCTAGACCTGCCCAAGACGTGCATTGATGGCTTGCAGCGAGATGCTGCAGATCACGTCCTTGTGCCGGCTGAGTTTAGGCTGACCTTGACCTTTGAAACGGAGGATTGACTAGTGAATGATCATGTTGCATCTGTTCAAAGAGTACTGTATGCATGATGATATCCCCCATGTGCAGTGACAACAACTGCCGATAGAAGTAGAGAGCGTGCAATGCTTAGATTGTACAGGGTTGTTGTTTAGCTGTAGCCGAGCTCGTGATGAGTTCTTGAAGGCATGCTCTGCGCACGGTGTTGTTTCTCCTGTGAGAATGCAGGCCCTTACTATCAAGGCTAGGTGTTGTGAAGCTGCCATGGCACTGGCACGTAGAGCTGTCCGTGTCCACTCACTCCCTGGCTGAGCCAGATGGAAGAGGAAGAATGGCTGCCACAAGCCCAGCCTAGACTTTGTGTGCAAAAGGCACCCCGAGATCCTCATAGCAAAACACCATGGCAAAAAGGGAGGTTGTTGAGGCCACTTGGTGCGTTCATTGGCCCGCACGAATCCATGTGCCGGGCGAACTGCGGAAGAGAGGTCACAAGGCTGGCAGCAGTGGTGGATGTTGGCACCTGCCCGTGAACTGGACCCTGTGATTCCGGTCTGTGTGGCGGGGAGGCCCCTTTAGTGGAGAACGTGGAGAGACAATCTGTGCGCGTTGGTGCTTCCAGCTACATTCCTGCAGGCCATCGCAATACGCGGCCAGTGCATATTTCCGAAGGCGGGTTTGCATTCCTGAGTTCAGCTCTATGCTCAGAGCAAGCGATGTGGTCAGCACCGAAGGATTCGCCGACTAGACTAATGAGCAATGAAAAAGGCAGACTGTGGCGCCCTGAAGGAAGTTTATGGCCTTGTTCCGTGAGTCGTCTCCGAAGTTCACTCCGCGACCGAAGCTGGCAAGGAGCAGCTGAAGCCGCTGTGGACAAACTTCCCCCCATGTTCTCTCTCTCTCTCTCTTTTTTTTTTTTTTCTCTCTCTCTCTCTCTCCAACTCCTTGCTACAGAGGTATGTTTTCAATCACGAGACAAACAAACACTGATGTCTTGGACTTGAGCTAACCTGGGCTTCCAATGAGCTGCCGGCTGCAAGTGCCTCTCTGGAAGGTACTGCCAGGACTCAGTCACCTCAGTCACATCCTCGAGGGGCACCTGCCAAGTTTGGCCTAGCCAAGACGAGTTTTCCAAAGTGCACGAGGAGTGCGGAGAGTTGCACAGCTCTCCTTACCAGTTGTCATGCCCACTACCCGTCACTACCCGCTGCGCATCACGGGTCAGGACAGTGACTCGTCAAAACATGGCCACTTGCAGCATGACGAGGCAGCCATGTATTTTTCTTGTGCATGACCTTTGTATGGGCTATCTTGTAATATCTTGTTTCTGATGCTTGCTGCTGCCAGGGCATGGCTCTTGCCGTTCAACGGATCCGCAGACTGAGATCTGGTGGAAACCATCGAGGCACCTGCAGCTCAGACCCTTGTGGCTGCCTGCTGTTCAAGTTGCTGACAGGAGGTTCGTCCGTGGCCTGGGCTTTCCCGGGTCGCAAGGAGCCTTCCTGTTTTTCTCGTCATGCAGAAGGTAAAGCGATAGATCCCGACTCGGTGTGAGGATCATGGTGTCAATGTCGGAAGGAGGCGCGCGTTGTGTTTGCTTCTGTACCTTACTTGGCTTGTTGTCCCAACCTTTGCTCAGGTGAGCTGCCAAACAGGCACTTAAAATGCTTGCTGCCAGCTGCACACGCTGCAGTGAGACCTCTGCAGGTCGGTGTCGGTGTCAATATGATACCTTCAATGTGCTGCTAAAATACAGCCGGACTCAATTGAGTTCCAAAGAGAAAGCTGTCTGACAGAATAAGAGCGGCTAAAGAAGCATGCCTTTTTATGTGGTGCAGGCGGTCATCAAGTGACAGATGCTGGAAGTAGAAGAGTTGCTCTGAGTGTATGCACAGTGAACTGTGGGACATCCTGGCCAGCCCTCAATAAGACGACATTGACATGGTGCTTTTTCATTAGAGTCAAAAGTGAGTCAGTTTTCACCCAACCCAATCTAGTCACTAGATGCTGGCAGCTCTTCAGCCTCTGAACAGAATGTGCCTGACCCCGGGAGCTCCGTAGTCCCATCAGTAACTTTCTCCACAGACTTCAGCCCTACTACTAGAACCGGCTGATGACCCATTGGCCTTTGCTGCGGCATGGTTGATGTCACCGTTCCTCCCGAGATACCACTGAACCTTGTTTCTGATTCAGCCATTACTGGAAGTCCACATGTGGTCGTTTCCCATTCTTGCTGAGCATTCAGCTCGTTCAGGAAGATACTCAATGTCTTCACTGACCAAGATGGTGACATTCGAGTTAAGGAGGACAACTTGCGAGAAGTGCTTAGGCACGACAACCGACTCATCTGCACATATCGGGTGAACGTCTCCCATGACATGACTTGCATCATGCCAAGCGGATGTGTTGAATGCGTGCAGTCGCTTTCGCAACTACAGCCGTGACATCACAGTTCAGGCTGGTGCATCTGCTGGGTTTCGGGGTTTCGTTGCTTTGATGCCGGTCCTTGGAGCATCTTGGACAGGTGCTGAGTACGCTGCGTGGCGAGCTGGCGGACCAGGTCCATTCCTTGAAAGCCTATGCGGTCACCCTCTGCCTTTGTTTCAGCCGTCTCAACTAGCAACATCCAGGCCCCCCCACCCCCCCCTGCCTGCCTTTTGTGTTCAAAAGTGCCGACAGTCAGGGGCCAGGCAACCACACAGCATAAAGGAATCAAGCCTTTGCACCCTGAAAGAAAAATGTGTTTGGAAGGTGGGTGCTGTCAAGGACAATGCAGAGCTGGCTCGGGCGCAGCTGGCCGAGGTTTGACTCAGAAGATTTCCCAAAAAAAGGGACCTCCCCCCTCGTTTAACCTCTTGGCTCGGTTTGGCTGACTCCAGCCAGCCTGTTCTGCAGGACTTGACCAGCGACCTTGCCAGCAAAGACGTTCTGGCCGAGGTTGAGGCATACCGGCCGCCACCCGCAAACTTTTGTCACCAGCCCTGGCTTTCACAGGAGCTGGCACGCGGTGCCCATGCCAAAGCAGACATGCTCGGCGTGCAGCTCAAATCCTTGGACGGCAGGCAAGGGACAAGATGACAGGGAGACTCAGATGCAGTCAGACACGCTCCCTCCTGCAGGCTCAGGCAAATGGCTGCTGTCTCGCAGGCGCTGTCACTTCGCTTCAGCCTCATTGTGGGGGCAAGGTTGCCGATGCAGCGTGCATACCACAGGCGAACTCTGCGTCTGCATCCGCGGATGACCTGGCAATGACAGCTCCGGCCGTCATGAGCTCGGCGTCGTTGCAAGTGGAGCCGACGCCCAGCGAAACTTTTCGTGCGATGCCAACTCGTGGTTCGACCTTCTCGCCCAAGTCCGATTCCGATTCCGTAACCCGGTCCTTCACATCTCGCTCCAATGCGCAAGCGCAGCAAGTGGAGCCAGCGCCATCCACCAGAGATGTTGAACATATGCTGTCTTCTCAGGCTGGGACATGCGCGTACTTGCCTGTGGATGTTTGTTTATTTTTTGACCTTGTATCCTCTGTTCTCCCTGAGGAGGCTCTCTGGAAAGAGGCTGTGGCCAAAGTGAAGGAGGAGGTTGCAGACCTTGCCGCCAAGCAGGAGGAGCTGGAGAAATCCTTGCAAGCCTCGGCCAGTAGCTCTGATCTGGAGGCCTCTGTGCAGGCCCCGGGCTTGCCACTGTCGCAGCCAATCTTAGGCTCACATGATTCAAGCCTGAGCAGGCTTTACGTGAAGCCCAGACAGCTGCGGAGCAGCAAATGCGGCTGGATGTCAAACAGGAGGGAGCTTTTGGGATCTCCTTTGTAGTGCCCTTTTCCTACAGCGTCGAAGGACTTGCTGGAGCTCCGGCAGCTTGCCAAACAGGCCAGCGAGGATGACTCGGCTGCCATGACCAGCAACAGCCAAAGATATGAGCCGCAAAGTCACTGGGCTGCGGAACGGTGGGAAGATGTGTGAAGAACGTTTCTAGGTCGGCTGGACTCGGAGAAGTTGGAGATCGAGAGCAGCTGCCACCTGAGCGGCCAGTTGTGCAAGTAGTACGCTGTAGTCTGCGCAGCAGCAAGAAGTGTGTCTCTGCGGCCGAACGCTTTACTTCCAACGCCGGGGCCCTACGTTGGCGCGGCGCCAGCCCTTCTGGCTCAAAGCAGGGGTAGCGCGGGTGTCTCGACGGAGTGTCTCAACGGCATGGGAGCCCAACTCCAGGCTGGGGTTGTGCACAAGTGGATGCATCATGAGCCCTCGACTGAACATGCTTTCGCTCGAGTCGTGTGTTCGGTTGCGCTCATGCGCACGCTTCGCTTCCTGGAGGCCTGTGGCCGAATCTGTTGGAGCGATGCCCAAGCACGGTCCTCGAAAAGCAGCAGCTCGCCACCGCATGCCTGCAGCTCAGACCTTGGTGCGTCGTAGGACCATAGGGCCATGGGAGTTTTGTGGAGTTTTGGTAGGAGTTTCTTGCAGGGGTTTTGGTGTCGTCTGAGAGCTTCAAAAGCAAGGAGTTGGATGAATGGGCGAGGACGGCCCGTGTCAAGGGAACTCCGGTGATGGACGAAGCTTTCATCTGCATGGGGAGCAAAGCTCCAGTCTGTCCACAGGGAGCCAGGCAGGTTCCTGCAGGCCAGTCCCAAGAGGGCTGAGGAAGAGACGTGTCTCTAGAGATGTCTTCATTGTCAGTGGTAGGGATTTCTGTCCTCTAACTTGGGCTGTTTGGGGTTCAGGTTGTAGGGTTTGCCGAAATCTGTTTTGGCATTCACACAGGTCCCATTACTCTGTCGACTTTGCAGGGCTCGTGGCTTGGCTCGGGCGGTGCCTCGGAATGGATCGTTGACATGAGATGCTATAATCATGTCCGGTCCTGGCACATCGCACCGGTAACCGCAGTTGGGGATTGCTGTTATTGTTGTTGTCTTTTTCTGCAGGGTGTCTTGTGAAGGTGCTAAGATCGTGGTCAGTGGCACCGAAGTCAGCATCAATGGCTTGCCACTGAAGGCTTTCGGGATGCAGTCAAGAAGCATGGGTCATTGGTCCCACCCCTGCGCCAGGCTCACAAAGTTGAGCTGAATGATGACGGCCTTGTGGTCAGCATTGGCAAGCTCTGGCAACTGCAGGACCAGCCAACACTTCACTGACAAAGCTGTTTTTAGCTCATAGCCTTGCTTCAGCATGTGGGGATGACAAGTTCTGGAAAGCGGCGAGCTGCTGATCGTATCATCGGAGAGGGAGGGGAGGCAGCATTCATCCTTCTGCAGCGCTGCTTCTTTGGTGTGGGCGGCCGGGGGGGGGGGGGGGGGGTAGGGTAGTGTAATGGTGAATGTTGATTGTTTCAAGGGAATGTGCTGCCGGTGGAGTTAATATTGATCTATGAATGTTCTTCCCAGTGACTCTGTGAAGATTGCTTGATGTTCCTCAAAGATTTGACGTCCTTTTGTGCTTGTGTGTTGCCTCCCGCCCTGCGAAACGTACATTCTCTTCAATGATGCCATCATCCATCTTTTTGTTGGGTCTTGCAGCTTGACTGACAGTTCCTAGTGATCCTAGTGGTTCCCAGGCCTCAGCATGCCCAAAGCATGCCACCCCTCTGTAACTTCATCGACGACAGGGTGTGTCCCAAGGCAAGTAAACTTCATCCGCCTGGGGGGATTGGGGGGAGCTACTCATGGCTGATGGTTCCGCCACTTCTTGGCGAGCTCCTTGTCCCCTAGTACTGCCATGGCCTTGGGTCTTCCTCGAGTAGTCATTCCGTTCACAGCCTTCTTTACTACTGCTCAGTTGCTTCTTCCCTAAGACTTCCTCGCCCACAGGCCCCACCCCTACGTATCGCTCTACGCGGCTTGAAGATCAGCGTAAGCACAACAGGTTGGATCAATGACGGAACAGGTCCGTGGAATTGATCACGCTGTGTAAATGGCACGTCGGTACGCAGCCAGACAACTTACATGCCTTCGGCAAAAGTCCACCTGGAGCGCCGCTGGCTTCCATGGCCACATGCTCACGTATCATGGGAGGTTGGCAAGGGTCGAAGACATGGTCCCGCCTTGTCTTGCAGTAGTTTCAGCATCCTTGCCCAAACCAGCTCGGAGGAATGAGGTCTGCCACAGGAAAACTAGGGGAATTGGGTGCTTGATGCCTGCCACGTCTCCACGTAGCACTCCTGCGAAGGGCTGGGCTGCGACTGGTGGGCTCGAGTTTCGAGCCTCTTCCACCCGAGAGAACATGGAGCCCCTCGGCAGCTTTTCCACTATTGCCAACTTTGGACCTTGCGTGACTGTTCTATTCTGCCTCATATACCGGGTGATACTTTTAGTATAAGGTCTGCACGCTCCGAGCTCTGGACACGCACGGCTGCAACTTCGGCAGAGGTGTTGGGTCCTCAGCGCGTTTCGTCTTGATCCTCTGGCCCACCTTGGCTTGCCGCAGCTAGAAGATTGCGGGATGTTGTGGGTTCTTTCAGGTTGCTGAAGTTTAATGAAATTTGAAAAGCGAAGAAGTGCAAAGGCTTGAGTTCTAGTACGTGCAGCAGCAGCAGCAGCAGCAGGAGGAGCAGCAGGAGGAGGAGGAGCAGCAGCAGCAGCAGCAGCAGCAGCAGCAGCAGAAGAGCAGCAGCCTTCAAGCAGCCAGCGTCAAGGGCAAACGTCTCTGGTCAAGACAGGCTTGCCAGAATCTGGACAAAGAACAATCTTTGGAGGGGTATTGATGTGGCATAGCCAAAGTTAGCTAGGATAAGGGGTACCCTTAAAAGGGACCCCTTCTGAACCCTCTTGTGGCCCTTTTAAACAGCGACCTTAGTCAGAGGGTCTATATCCCCACAGGGTCCCCCTAATCCTATCCCCTACAAAGATCCCACTCCCCCAAATCTTTCTGTATTTCAAGTGTTTGAACTGGGCTGGAATCAAGCTACCACTTGCCCGCGTCAGGGGATCTCACCTTAGGGCCTGGGGCAAGCATGGGTAGTTCTACAAAGCCATTAGTCGACTTGGTTCTTGTATTGCAACTGAGTTCGGAGGTCAGAGAAGATGAAGCTCCTCGGCTACGCCGGCAGTGCTGCCGCTCGCCGGAAGGGGAACAGTTTCGGTATTTTGTATTTTGGGTTTCAGGCATCTACACCGCTTGTCAATTTTTCACCGAGGCAAATCCTTTGGGGCGAGGGGTCGAAGGCTGCATGCCGGGGACCACTGGGGCGGAGATGCCACCGGGCTACAACACGAAGAAGGATGCCGAAGAGGCCGACGGCGTTGCTGTACCGCTTGCTTGAAGCAGTGGAGAAGAAGGTGTACGTCAGACTTTCTGTTGGGATCTCACTTCCAAGGTGTCTCTGTTGTGCGCCTTGGTCAGCCAGTGGCGCGAGTGGCTCTGACATGGTTATCGGAGCCTTTGACTAAGGCACACTTGAGCACGTGCGTTCTTTGCATTGTTTGCTGGTTCGAAACAGGCCGACGACGTGTAAAGTTTGTCCGCGCATGGTGATCCCCGACTTCACGAACCGCTGCTCGGCCGTGTCAGACACAAGAAAGCGTTCCCAGACCGCCTTTTGGGGAACCTAGATCAAGCATGCCTCAAGCTTCCCAGAGGTGCACAGACTGGCCTGGGTGTCGAGCTGATGCACTACGTGGCCACGTCCATAAAGCAGCGGGGCCTCACTGCTTTACGTCACTCCGTTGTTTTTTAAAGATGCGAGAGCAAAGAAGTAGGCTGTGCGGATTCTTGGTTCAGACAGGCAGAAGGGATTCCAGAAGCGGTCCGGTCGACAGGGCAGGAACCCTAGCGCTCAGCTTCACAGCTCACGTTCAGCTTAATGCCGTGGGATCGTGGAAGCATGGAAGTGGAGGCCACGACATTCCCGTGCTTGTGCGGGAGCCCCCGGGGTCCGACTCGAAGGAGGGGCCTGCAAGCACGGAAGCGAAGAGCTCCTCCTGGTGGCCTCCAGAGCTGTAATGTGCCGTTTAGGGACATTCGATTTAGACGGGTGTCGAGGAAGCGCCTAAGCCCCAAGCCCTTCGCCCTATCTTGCTTAGGGCCTAAAACCTAAGCGTCTTGCGAGGCAGAGGCACTTCGAGTTTGGCGAGCACGTGTGGCAGAAGAGGAGGCCATAAATACACCATAATGCTGCTGTTGTATTCGCGGTTCTCTGCCAGATGCCAGGGCTTTCCGCCTGTCCGCGTACAAGACAATGAGGAAGTTTTTACATCCTTGGGCAATGGCCACTTCTTCCAGGTGCGCTTCAATCACGAAAATGAGTTGTCCCAAGCAAGGGGCATGAATTTTGTCGTCAGATGTGTACCTGTGGAGGCCCTGAACTTATTCCAGACGGAGTGGAAGGCCATCAACGATGACACCCGCTACTGCGTCGGGTCTGACAAGTTGTTGAATGAGGCTCTCAACGAAGGACCGGGGTGGGTGAAGCTGCTTTGTAGATGCTTGCAGCAAGAGTTGCTGTCAATGGACAACTTTCCGTGGGAGGTGTTGTGAGCGTGATCCTTCGGCACTCCACACCTCGCCCCGTGCGAGCAAAGATCGCTGAACTGCTCAATGCCAAACGAGAGCACCTGGTCTGCAAGATGATGTATCGTGCCGCTATTCCACACAAGACTTCAAAACCACGCGCGCCCGCATGTTGTTGATAGCTCCGTCTTCGAGCATGTTTGGGGGGTGGTGTAACCAGGCAACTTCTTACTTTTCAGTTTGAGCATAGCCTGTGGAAGACTCAAAAACCAACGCTTTTGTGTTCGGATGTTGTGGAGCCTGCTCTGACCACAAGCCTCTTTGGGCATGGCACGCTTCATCACGCTTCTAATCGCACCAGAAGGGCTTTCGGTATGTCCGGTGATCGAAGCCAAGGTTTCAATGGACTTTGAAAGAGGATGGGACGGTGGATACTGGAAGCTCCTTGGAGAACACCGACTACTGCTCCCAGTTCGAGTGGCTGAGCAAAGGGATGGATGCGGAGCAGGCGGCGTTGAATCAAAGTTCGTAGAGACATGGGCTTGGCAGAAAGCCTTCGTCCCCCACCTTTGCCCCTGCCTTCGCTCCGCAGGTCAACTGCTTGGTCAGGACCCACCTGGGCATCAAGGACAGCAAGCGAATCCAGGGCTGATCCAGGGCTCATCCACGGCTGATGCGCCAGATCTCCATCTAAACAAGAGTGGTCTTCCAACAGTCAATTCGGTTTTCCTGCCAGAATTTTCTCGCAGCATCGCCCCTGCATGAAATGCAGAGGCAAGCTTGTGCTCTGGCAGCCACGCTCTGTCGAAGTGCAGGATACAACTTGCATACGACCTTTCAGCAGCAAGCTCCGGAAAAAAATGAAGAGTTTGTGGCAGTCGCAGTCTGGGTGGGCATGGACCACCACCTCACCTGGGGCGGGCGAGAGATGCTCGCAGATGTTGCCAACATGGGGCCCCAACCCGGAAAACTACAGAACCCTAAAACCCTTAAACGTTCGGAGGCCTGGAGGCCATGCGACAGCGGACTTCGGCGCTGGAGGCGCTCCTTGCCCGGACGTTCTACACACCCCCTCCTGCGGTTTCGGATTGAGGGCGACCAGGTTAAGGTTTTGCAACAATGACAAAGGCCGCAAACCCCAAAACAACACGTAAGGTTGCCCATTTTGTTCGGCTCATCAGAGCATTTTCTGGGTTACGGAAGTGAAGTGTGACGCTCCTCCTGAGCGAAGAGCCTACGATGCGCTGATGAAGTACTTGCTTAAGATGTCGCTGCCAAGTTTTTGCAGAAATCTAGCCGACAAGCGCTTGTGAAACACTTCCAATGTCTACAAGATGATTTGCAAAACTTTTTGTCCGTCGAGGCTCTCAGTGCAAATGACTACCGGCACTGGGAGGAGGTGCTGTGTGCGACAGGCACTCCGACAAGCGGGAAGCTTCGGGTTTGAACGGTTTGAGGGTTTGGGGTTTGGGGGTTTAAAGTACAGGCATCTCTGAACAGAAGTTGTTTCGATGTGGAGCTCAATCTGTGAGAAATCAGACAATTTGAGTTGGGCTGTCTTCGAATGGGGCCTTCGATTGCTCCTGGTCCATGTCGCCAGGCGATCGCTTGTCGCGTGTGGAGGAGGGTCTCCAGCAGGCCAACATCGCACAGGTGGGGTGTGCTCCTGTGTGCTCCGACTGCTCCCTGTTGCAGTTCAAGTGTTTAGGAGTTTAGGCCTTAAGGATCCTCTTAAGGATCCTCTTGAGGATCCTTAGGGCCCTAGCAGTTCTCGGCCTTGTGAAGACCCAAGAGTACATCGTGGAGTTTGCCGCGAAGATCACTGACCTGGCGCAGAAGATCGATCGCAAAGCTGAGGGTGCGCCCCCAAGGACGGCAGGTCTCAGCAACAAAACGCGACGTAGTTTACTAGCAAACTAGGTGCCTACAGAGTAGTTTGGGGTACGTTCAAGGTTCTACATCCGACAGTTCTAGAACGACTCTCAGGCTCCGACGTCGCGCGTGTTGTCGAGCAGATCGAGGAGCTCGATTCCAAGCTGACGGAGGCTAGGGGTTTCAGAACGAAAGAAGGAGTCCAGCTGAGGGTTTAGACTTTAGGGTGTCCGGGTTGGTATTTTGCAGCACTGCGCTGTCGCGGTTCGTTGGGATTCAGCGAAGCCAAGGTAGCTGACACTTGCGATGACACGCAGCTCCGTAGGGTTTGTGTACGCTAAGCCGTCTGCATGGCACAGAGTCCGTCCTGAACGTTCCAGCACGTGTAGACAGAGAAAACGATTGTGAACCTGCCGTGTCGCTGTGGCAGAACGGTGTTTTGAAGCATGCTTTTGGACCGTGATCACCTGGTGGCGCGAGGTCAAGTTGAGTTGTTTTGAAGGGAAAGCCAGCTCGGAAGCGAACAGTTCAACCTTGGTCAATCTTTGGACTACTCGCCCCGGGGCTGGCTCCAGCCCGGATACTTGCAAACACGTCTGTTGCTGCATTTTCTAAGAGCCTAAGACACGAGCGCTGCCCGCCGGAGTTTCTTTTTGAGCTGGCATAGGGCAGCGGAGCAAGAGGCATGCTGGTTGAACTTGTCGCGCAAGTCAGGGTCGAGCCAGAGCAGCTGTGGGATTGTGAGGCCGGCCTGCGGCTTTCTTCTGCTCTGCAGCGGATCTGGCCACATCTCGAGAAGTTGGACGACAGGGCCTGCATCCTGGTGCACTTTTCGGTGCTTTTAGAGGGATGGACCCTTGCAATGGGTCGCTTGCGTCTGCGTGTTGCTGAGGCGGCCAAGCTGGAGGCATGGCCTTGGTGGAGAGTTGTACCCAATGGTCTATGATTCGCTACAGTCATTACGGGCTCTCATCTGTTTCCTTTTTGTATTCGAGGTCGGATGATTATAACTTTTAGCTCGGCACTGCGGGCTCGACTTGCTACAGTGGCCACACAGCAGCCACACTTCTGCTAAAACTGACAGGAGTGACGTTCACAGCCCTCCATGCTTTCTCGCTGGTGCTTCTGGTATGGTCACCCTGAAGAACCTTCCAAGCTCCATGTTAAACCATATCAACCTTGTTTAATTAACCGAACGAAGCCCCGAGCCTGAACCCTGCACCGAAGGGCTGGAGCCGTGAAGCGGCGAAGGAGCTAAAGGCGCTCCCCCACAAACCTGTGCCATTGTGAGTGCCGAGGGTGATCAGTAGCAGATGGTGGCTGACTAGTCCGATCGGGGTTTCTCCGTATGGCTGGGGCGTGCTGTGTAAGTTGATGCGACGCTGCAGCCTCAAAAGGACATGCAAAACCATGAAGCCGCTTGTTGGGCAGAGGCCATGCGCAGCGTCGACTCGGAGCTCGCGCTTCGTCTGGACAGGATAGCTGATGAGGCTAGGGACTTTAGGGACCCAGAATGCGGTGAGTGCTCTTGTTGGGTTCCTTCTCTGAGGAGCAACGAAATGAACATACAGTAAGAAAGGGACTGGTGGAAAGCGCAGCCCCATAATCCAGATCAACACACACGTCGCGCACGTCGCATGGAGAGGTGCAGGAAGCCTCTGCCTCCAGCGAGGAGAAGTGGCAGGCATGGGCATGCGTTTTGCATCGGTGACAACCCTAGGGCTCCAGAAATCGTGAGGCGTTGGGGCATTCCTTGAACATCCATGCCTCCTCTGTGGAGCAGAAGGTTCGCCGCTTCAGTGCCTCGTGGGGCCCTATATCACAATTTGAACCCCTAACGGCCGGCATCTTGTTCAGGAGACACGGGCTAACAACAACTTTTCAGCGTCAAATAAACGTTTTCAGGATCAAAAGTCTATTTCAGCATCAAGAAAAGTATTCTAAGGTAGAAAGCAAGGAAGGAAGAGCGGAAAGGAAGGAATAACGGAAGGCGGGAGGGAAGGTATGGCAATGGGCCCCCACTAACCCCCGCTTGTTTTGAGTCGAGCAAGATGGCTTTCAAGATATCACAACGGCATTTCTTTTGCATGCTGTAAGCTGTATCTCGGCATGTAGATTTCTGGCGATTTGTAAGACCCAGGGGGGCTCGCATTTAGGAATCATAGCAACCTTCCACACCCGTCATACGAGAATTATGTTTGCGTGGGGCCCCCACCTCTCCCCCTTGCCGCAACACCCGCCTTCTTCAGCTGGGCAAACGCGCTTTTGTGCTTTTTAGGAGCATCCTGGCGTCGAGAGAAATTGTTGCAAGTACTCAATCATTCGATACCTATGAGAAAGTGTTCGGGAAATTCTCTTCGGGGAGCATAGGGAAGGCTTAGCATTGTCAGCGGGAAGTTGCATCGCACAGCGCCACAGGGATGTGGCCGCAGCATGAGATCAAAGTCGGAACTGGCACCCAGGAAGCCGTGGAATTCAACTGATTGTAGCGTCATGGAATGCAGGAAGTGATCCAGCGATCCAATTGCTTTAGGGCTCGTGCAAGCTGATCTGCGGCACACAGTTGGCGACTTGGGGCAGGATGTGGCAGCGATGGAGCTCATCGCGGGCTTGGAGGACCGCAACCCTAAGCGCCCCCAAGCCCATCCAAAGGGAAAGCCTTCAACCAGAGATTAGATTTGGAAGTAGAACTCTTCGACTGAGTGCAGAGTAGAAGGGACTCAGTTCTTGAGAGGAGCGCGTGGAAACTCTGGAGATGGACCTGGAAAGGGAGACCCGCCGAGCCAAAGAGAAGGCACTCAAGAATTGAAGAGTTGCAGATTGCAGATTGGGTTGTTCAAGTTTTTGAAGTTTTTGAAGTTTTCTGAACAAAAGGATCCTGCAGACAAAGTCAGTGCAATTTCCTATTGAGGTGGAGGAATCGATCCACGATTTCAGCGGCAAGATCTGCGCCTTTGAGGAGGCCCCTTGAAGTGCTGAGGACCTCACAACACGATTGCTTTGGCTCTCTTTGGGTGGCTTTTAAACTCAAGGTGATCAAGGATAAAGAGCAGGCGGTTCACTTTGGAGCACGGCACAGCTCCCGGCAAGGGATGTCTTAGCCAAGACGGCACGATCAGATGCTGACACAGCAAAGGTGCCTCTCTTGCAATCGCACGTTTGACGACGTGGTCAGAACGTCAGGTGCCACTGGCTGCCAAGTTGTGCCTCCAGAAGCCACTTGCCTCGCCAAGCCACTCAGCCGCCAGGAAACGTAAACCTCCCTGCGGAGAAGCGCCGGGCGCAGGCAGTGCAAGAACACAGAGAAGGTACAGACCATGACAGACACCTTCCCGCAAGAATAAGACACTGCAAAATGCTAAAGAATCAGAACGCTAAACAACAGCAACAGCAACACCAATAGCAATCACAATAGAGATGAGAATAACATAACTAACGCTGTCACACTATGAGCTAACAATGACGGTAACGATGATAGTAGCAGTAGCACCAACAATACTAGCGAATGTCAACTATAGCAATAAACACAAATAATGAACAATAGCAATCGTAACATAATAAGTACTAGCAGCAGCAAAAACAATGACAGTAACAATGACAAGTAACAGTGATAATAATGCGACACTAGCAATGGCATGCGTGTGAAACTGTAGAGCTAGGGTGAGTTGGGAGGTCTTCGCTGAAATCCAGCGTGCGCTACACACGCCGAGGTGAGGCACCCGGTGTACAGCATCTAGGGGTGTGGGATTATCTGAGTTATGGGGCCTGGTGTATAAGGCCCCGAGCTATCATAGGATCCCCCAAAGGGACCATCATTTGCAGAACCTTCCATGTCATCTACACAGAGGCTTTGCACCAGCTACAAAGACCTCAATGCTGACATCTTCTTGAGCTTGTGTGTGGATCACGTCCAGTGTTGACCAAATGCCAGTAGCACAGTCCGATGAGGCGTTGTGAAGCTCGATACTGGAACCATTGCAATGTTCAACATGTGTTCTTGCAGTGAGTAGTTACTTGCTTTCTTCGGAGGGCTGATCCGGAGAGTATCAAGCTGCTGGCCGTGAAGGCCGCATCGCCTAATGTGCGATTATAAGGATGAGGGTAGAAGGTTGGGTTTGCACGCTGCTGTTTGCAGGGTCAGTCGCAATACAGGAAAATGCGGTTTCGAAGACGGGCCGTTTGGCTGGACTTCATAGGTTTCCTACGCTCAACTTCATCGCACTTGCCTTGATTTGCGATCATGTCACCATAATGTCCCTGTTAAAGAGAGGCGTAGGTATTCCCTTTCCAAATAATCCCAAGAGCCTTTTTTCCCCCCGATGGGCAAGCATCCATCGTGAAGACTACGCTCAGGGGGTTTTACTTCCATGCAGCGACGAAGCACCGCCGAGTACTGTTGTACGTTGACTTCCCTGAGCCGCCTTGCACGGACCCATGATGAATGTGAACATTCACTTCGATGGTACGAGTATATGGTGGAGGGCCGACTTCTCGATGAATGCCCGCTGTGTCCGGGTAGTATGTTCCCGAACCTGATTTGCAAGCTCCCATGCAAGGTGCCACTCTGAAGTCTGAACACGCGCGACCAGTTATGCCAGGTAGGCCGGCCATCTGCGGTGACTGCGAAGCAAAGCATCGTCTCGCCCGGCTTGTTTGGATGTTTGACGATGGACAGCCCCACGAAGCGGCCATGGCATCGGTGTTAAATTGGGGAATGTGTTGCTGTTGCGGGGATGACAGCTCCTTTGCCGTGATACAGAGGTATGACGTTGATGATATGCATAAGCCATGTGACTCTTATTATGTACAACATGCAGATATATATATATATAGTTATTTCTTTTGGTATGGTTGGGCGAGCTGAAAAATGCATATACACAACAATTGTAAACGCTTGCATGCCCCGCCTCGGCAGCCGGGCGGCCCCAGCCACGGGACAGGCATGTCGACGGTCCAGGATTGCACTTCGGAGTTGCCAGTCCAAACAGATGTGGAAAGCGACGGCGGGTCGAGGACAAAAGGCTGCCGGAGAGCAGCTGACCCGTAAACTCGAGCAGACTTTGTAAGTGACCTGGGGGATGAAAGGGAGGCTTGCGATTCTAGGGCGGTCAGAAGGCGGGTTTGGGTGCTCAGAAGTTTAATTGGCAGTCGCAAGGTGCAAGGGGGGCGGGGGCCACAAATTTGGCAGTACAAGGTTGGGAAGGAAAGCAGAACCTGACGTGCTTGTTCTAGTCGCCTCTCGGCCTCCGTTACTGTAGGATGTCGTAATGCCTCTGCACCTTTACTGCCAGTACGCCAGCCGCGATGGTGACTCACTGGCCAGCGGCATTGAGGCCAAGTGCCCAATTAACGCCAGCAAGTCGCTCTTTTGTTGTTGAACTTGAGAGGTCGTCCTCACGGCTTTCATGAACACACAGTGCTTCAAATGCCAGGATGTACAGCTCATCCCCGTACGGGCTCACTCCTCCTTGAGTCGCTCGGAAGCCCCAAGCCTCCGGTCGCAGTACTCCCCGCGAGTGTGCGGGGCCCGGCAATGGCATTGGGAGCCAAAGCGTGACCCCAACTCCCAAAACCCCCTTGTTGCAGCCATGGAATCCATGAGCCCAGGCCCTCAAAAACCTCTACGTCGAATGCTCGGCCGCGAAGCCGCCCCCTGAGTATGTGCAGCGTTTGTTTCCATGTTCATTTGAGAAGAGTGGTCCGTGTTTTATTTGTAGGCACCCAATCGAAAAGCCGCTCAGGGCTATGATGAGCGGTCCAGCATAGCTGTAGGACAGCTCTTTACGTTTAGCCCAGCTTGAAAGGCATCTCCAAATCGGCAACTTCGGCAACTCCACCCACGTAGCTTCCGCTGAGACCCTGAACCCTGAACCCAGTAAGGCGAGACCAGCTCCTGCTGGACGCACCGCCGTGGCGAAACGCCCTCGCCCTGGCTTCTTGGCAGCACCCCGGGGTCAACCGAAGCAAGAGTCCCCTGGTCTTGGTCACATCTTGCCACTGAATACAGAGCCTCAAGTGCTTGAGAGCCCGTTCTGACGGCTCGAGGACCGGCCGGAAACATCGGACCCACTCGAAGGCCCGCCGAGGGTAGATCAGGGGTTGAAATTTTGAATACCAAATGATTAGAGTTTTCAAGGATCGTCCTTATGTTGGGCAGTCTTTCATCGGCAGGTGAATGAGGACATCAAGTCTGCGGTATCCTGATCATCATGCATATGATGCCCAAGGCACGCGCAGGCGTCAAACCATCCACATCCTGCACCCCCTCCGGCCCCTCCGGGCAAGCACGGTTTTGCAGCATTGCCGAGGTACGGCGAGGTTAATGCTCATGATCACTCTCCTGAGGAGATATGCCTGGAAGTCAAGATGGCTTCAGGGTTTTCATTGTGGCAAAGTGCCCACCCCTTTGAAGTTCTTTGCATTTTTTTGTTTCAGCTCGGTGAGACTCGGCCACCTTTTCATGTCGTCGCCTGGCGTTGCATCCATAGCTCTGGGATGTAGGCGTGAAGGCGTTGAGCAGGGCCATTCCGCCATTCAGGCGTGGAAAAGGAGCAGGGTGCTTGCAACATGCTGCAGCCTATGGGGTAGTGCAGACTGTTGCAGTATGTTGCTGTGAGTCGCCAACCACGAATGTTGTTCATCTTTTCTGCAGCTGTTTGTCAAGATTCAGCTCAACTGCACCTGGTCCCCTGAGACCTGGCTGCAAGTGCCATCCGAGCTGTCCTGACAGAGCATGCAGGGCTGCCTTGCCCACGGTCCCCGTGGGTATGTGGTACCCTTGCCACCAGGGTTGCTGGCCGGGTCACGCGTGGACCCATCATGTGTGAGCCCGCTCATGGGCGCGCAGGTGAGCATGCTGGCAGCCTGTCCACCCTTGCAAGCAGACTGCAGGCCCCGGCCGCTGCGTTTTGAGGCCCAGGACTTTGTGCCCGCATCTCGCCTGCCCGTGGCTTACGCAACCCACTCGGGCTACCCTGGCACCCCAATGTTTCTCTGGCCCGATCCTTGCCAGAGAGCCACAGTGCAGCCACAGCCGGTTGAAGAAACCGTGGAAACCAGGGGAGCCAAATGCACTGCCAGTGCTTTGGAGGGTTCGGAGCCAGAGCCGCCACTGGAAGTGCAAGATGATGTCCAGAGCGACGTGTTGCAGAAGCCCCAGCCCAAGAAGCCGATGAAGAAGCTCCTGAATGCGCGCCTTCGTCCGAAAGGTGGGTGCATGAAGGAAATCTTGGAGCCAGAGGTCTCTGATTTGCCAGCACAGGAGTGGGGTTCGAAGGCCCTGGATGCCATCAGGGCATCTGAACCAGGAAAGCTTCACCAAAAGCACTGCTTGACGGACAGTGATCAGCATGATCAGGAGCCCTTCTTGGATTCGGACTTTGCATCGTTGGGGGATGGCTCCGTTCCTTTGGCAGCTCCCTCGCCGAAGAGATCAATGGCTCCTCTTCGAGAGTATCTCCGGCTGTGCACTGGACAGACCGGACAGGACCCCGCCAAACTCGTGTCAGAGGATCAAGCGTGTGCAGCTGCTGCACAGAAGCCTGGATGGCAGCTCCTGACCCGAGCGGCTGGCCCCGGTTCGGATGCTGTGGCGCTGCGGCAGGTTGATCCAAATGGTCCCTCGCCGGTCCATTCCGCAGGCCAACCAGCGGACCTGAATAGCCTCGGCCGGTCAAGCGAATTAGACAAGACATGTTTGCATGAAGAGTATGAAGATGTTGCTGACGGTTTGATCACCACCGTCCCGAGCGAGGAAAATGCTGAAGAGACATGGCCAGCAGGAGACGAAAGCTCTCTGCTACCAGGGTACATGCAGTGTGACTTGCCCGACGATGACACAGAGTCTGATCCATGGGCTTTTCCCTGGGCTGACAATGCAAGCGAGGCAACGCCGGATGCTGAAGAGCCACGGCGCCGTGACACCCCAACTGCTTCTAGCCAAGATGCGGAGTCAGAAGTCTTGCCCTTCGAGCCAGAGCCTGGCACCACCTACGATCGAGGCTGGATCAAGTACCGAGATCCCAGCAGTGGAGAGATTTGGTTCCACAATCAGCACACGGAAGAGTTCTTCTTTGCGCAGTACTCCCGGGAGGAGGGCTGGTTGCCGTTTCAGAGCAGTGAGGGTCGAAAGTGGTGGTGGCATGACAAGAACCGGCGATTTTTCTTTGAGGACTTGAAGTAGCCTCATCATAGTCATGGCAACCATGTCGTGAGGGAGACATGTGTTGCCACAACTGGGCTCTTGATCTCTGTGGGAAGCGTTTCAAGACTAGACGGGCACGGACTGAGACGCTTTCGCTGCATTCGCTGTGGTGTCCTCGCGGGAGAGTCGTTTCAGCTTCGATTCAGCCTTGCTTGCTGTGTTGTGCCATTTCAAGAATTTCACAAAGCACCGTGCGATGCCACGATTGGTGATGGAAGATACTGGCCTGTGCATCACGCAGAGTCACAGATACTCCATGTTGCGTGTATCAGGATGGTTTGGGATTCGATGCAGAGGGCCCGGGGATGCGATGAGAAAAAGCTGACTCGTTGAACTGATTGTATCTTCCAGCTTTTGCGCGGCATTCTGCTTCGAGATCCCATGGTCCTTTCCGTTGTCTGGCCTTTGGCTCAGTGTGGCAGTTATACAGAAGTAGAAGCCATGCTGGGAAGCCAGGCGAGGGTTGACGAATGTTCACGATCTCTCTCTTTGAGTGTTCCTGGGCCAGGCAAAGCGGGCCAAAGTCCCTGAGGCGTTCGGGCCAGATGGGACCTCTCCGCGCAGGGCACGGGCTTCGGCTTCCCCTCAAAAGCAGAGAGATGCTAGGAACACATTGTTCATGTTCGTTCCTTTGCGCTCTACGTGCCCGAGCCGTGAGGCCAAGGCTCGTCTCATGCAGGCCAGGTGTGAGGTGTGTCAGCTTGCTTTTGCGTTACTACAATTGTGGCCATTGGTCTGCCATTCTCTTGCAGTGCAGATCTGGGCAGGCTTGCGGGGGCTCGTGCCAATGTGCCTGTGCTGCCCAACGCTACCAGGGCGCGTCAGCACAGCCACATCCTTGGCAAAAACGCATGAGTCCGAAACACCAACACAGTCTGCGCCATCTTCTTCTGCTATCGTCTTGGAAGGAGAGACAGGATCTACAGGGACAGCATGTGAACAGCTTTCAAGGTTGCTTCCACACTGCCACACGAACGTTGCCCAGCAAGGTGCTTGAGTATCATTCGTGAGTACAAGTCTGCCAAACGCGTAGAACGCGCAGACATTCCCAAGGCACGCTCAGAGCACACTACCTCGAGTCTGGTTTTCAACATGAGCTGTGCTGCCTCTTTGCATGTATCCCTTCAGCTTGAGCTTCGCAGGCAGAGAAGGGCAGAAGCATCGGCATCACCCAGGACTTGGTTGAACATTGATAGAAACGCTCATTGTAGGACCTGTTGGACGGCGATCCGAAAACTCACAGGGTCCCATTATTTTTTTGTCCAGGCTTTGCGAGATCTGCACTACCCGGAGACTCGCTGCCTCGCAGCTGGCCATGTGGATGTGGCGCCGGCGAAAGATACAGGGAAGCGCGCCCTCCTGGCCCAGGCCCGTATAAGAAGTTCAGAACTCAATTGAGGGCATCAGTCCCTCTACTTCGCAGGTTTTTTCAGGCATAGCTACAGTTGCTTTTTGAGTTTCTCAGAACGCCAATCCTTTACGGCTACTTTGCTGCGCTTGCTTGCTGGAGGCTTTGAGCGCTGCTGCCGCGCAGGAGATGACAGCCTTGTGTGGCTTTGTTCTGCACTTGGGGTGCCCATGTCGGATGTAAGGTTCTTCAGATTGTTTTTGTTTTTGTTGGTGTGCTTGTGCATTCATTGTTGCTTGGAAGTTGCTAGCTAGCTACCAATTGATGGTCACTTGGTCCGCGTTGGTAGCTAATCCCTTCGCCTTGTATTCAGTTCCCCCCTAATGATAAACAAACACTTTCCGGAAAATCGTGCCGAAACCGACCGCGCCTTATTTCCGAATTGTGGGGGGTTCAGGGCCTCAAAAACCTTCAAGCCAATCTAAACCCTATCCCAAAAGATGGCATAAACATCCCCCTAATACTAAAAGCACGTTTCGAGTTCCTATTGCGGGAATGGGGGGGGGGGCCGTTGGGAAGGGATTAGTGCGTGAGCGCTATGTGCTGAGTTTATCAGTCAGTGAGTGGTTGTCCTTTCCTCTGCGTTAGTTCGTTGGTGCTTCATGCGGTGGTGCATTTGCATGGACACCTTTGGCAGGTGTCCATACATTGCTGTGCAGTGCTCACATGCTTATTCATTTGACTGGGTAGATCTTGAATTCTAAGCCCCAATCCTCTGAATCCTCCACCCTCTCTTGAGCCAACATCTCGCACAGTAGGGTTTACAGACCCTGGTGTGGTCTGAAACTTCAAGGTCTGGGCCGAATGCTTGGCCCCCTTCCCCCTCTACACCAAAACGCCTGCTGAGCCTTGAGGGCCTTAAGCCATGACAGGGCTCCTGGACTCCTGGATTTCCTTCAGGTCGCGCATGGCAGCTCAATGTGGAGCCGGTAGAAGGGGAGGAGCGGCGACTGGAGGAGGCCAGCGTTGGAGGAGCAGAGTCAGGATACAGGAATGAGTTTTGAACTGTTTGGGGGTGATCTGGGGCTTCCTGTTTAAATCTGTGAGGTTTGATGGTGGTTGAACCGTGCTGGCAAAAGCGACCGCCGTTTGCATCAGCTGTGCTTGACTGTCTGTCCATCCATGTGTTGGATTGCCTAGCTCAGCAGCATCGCGCCAGATTTGTTTTTCGCATGTTCCCCACTGCCTCTGAATTTTGCCGGTTTGCTGGTGAGGGGGTCGCGCGAGCCTTGAAGCACATCTGCCGGCGAGCAGAGAGGTCCGGAAAAGATTCGGGTGGATTGGAGTTCCGAGTTCTGACTTGGTGTGTAAATGCATAGCTCAATTTTATTTAGGCTTGGAATTTCCATGGAGTTCCTTTGGGCTGGGCGGCCTTAACGCACAATATCTCCAGTTATGCCACTTTGCCGACAAAGTCTCAACCCTCCACCTAAACTGTTTAGGCTCTACTTAAATCTTACAAGCCCTCGGCTCTAGGCCCTAAAATTTGGCTCAGGAGCTGTGTTCTCAAGTCGCTGCGGCAGCCCACTGCCAGAGCTTCGGAGATCGCAGGGGTCCTCTCCGATGAGGACTCGGCCACATGGGATTCTGCATTCGGGCCCCCCTTCTGGAATTTGAGCAGAATGTGTTTGGGTGGGGGGGGGGACCCACCCGACACCTTCACCAGGAGCTTGCTCTGGAAGCTCACTGTTCGCAGCTGGAGTCGGAACTGGCAGCCTCAAGCGCCCGTGTCCCAGAAACCGCTCTCATGCAGAAGTTGACCTTAGGGCTCGTACGCAGCTCGTGCTCGTCCGCAAGACCCCAGCTCAGGAACGCCTCACTGTCTTGGACACCGTCGAAGCCAAGGTTGACATGCTGGTGTCTGAATGGCAGCCCGACTCGCAGAAGGACCGGCTTCCGCCTTGTTTTTTGTGTTGTTTCAAGCCTGTCCTCCTCACTGTTGCTTGGTGTTTTCTGCGGCACTTTGAGTCCGGATGAGTATGTGCGCTTGCATTTCGCCAGGAACTGCTGCACAACCTGTCAGAGGCAGGACCACAGCCAGGGGGCACACGGAAGTCCGACCGAAAGCGATCACACAACAGCGGCTGCAAAAGCGAGATCAAAGCGAGGTCCGGGAAAAATTGGCAAATGAGCATCAGAAGATGCCTTAGAAGTGGCGAGGCAAACGACGCACACGGATCGGGCATCATCAGTGCCGACGCTCGCGTTCGCGACCGGTGCGTTGCTCGCGGTTCGCATGGTCAGGGCAGCGAGCATGGGGGGGCGGGCCTTGGACTTGGAGGAAGCCTCAGGATTCTGAGCACTGGACATTACATTTGTGAACCAGGGTGTGGCCGAGGAAGGGAGGCACCCAGTGCACGGTAGACATTGCAGATGCCAGACGCACGCAAGCCAAGCAATTTGTTCTGGCACTGTCAATCTTGATAGTGGCTGACTTGCTATGATTGTTTCGGACAGTGCCTTCAGGTGGCGAGCACCTCTTTGATGCAAGAAAGTTGTCCTGAGCTAGGCGAAGGTCCGGCTGACTTCTCGCGACTTAGATCACGAAGTCGTTGACAGAGCCTCTCAAGGCTTTGAGCAGTGCCTGCAGCGCCTTGGGCTGGTGAGCTCTTGGCTGAACCGGACCCTGTGCCAGTTGGAGGCGCCTCTTGCTTTCGAAGTCGAGTGGGTCAGCAGATGTCAGAATGCTGCGACCCGCAGGAAGCTCGCCGGGAGCTGACTGAGAAAGAGAAAGCAGCCGCATCATGTGCATTCTTGCATCTACCGGGCGAAGCTCCAAATGCGCAGAGTGCCTTGGCACGTTTGCCTTGATCCCGTAGGCTGGCACATGCCATGTATTCCTAAGTGTTTATGCGGGACGGCTCGCTGAAGCGTGCAAAGTCCTCGTGCACACAATTCGTTTGCTGAGGATACCTGACACTCGCGCCTGTTGCAGCAAGCAAAGTAATCACACGACTTGAAAGACACCGGAAAGTCTCCGGGCACGTGATGGCTTGATCAGGCGCTGTGGCCTTTGTCCAATAATTCGTACTGCCGTGCCAACTGGCAGCTTGGGGTAGACTGGCAAAAAGTAAAACTGCAATTTGTGTTCAGCTGTCCATTCGGATAAGCTAGCGGGCTCATGCGGGACCGTGCAGGACGATTATGCGCAGCCCGGGCAAGCTTCTTCAAGAATCTACAGTTCAACCGTTCAACCAGAAGTTGCTCAGCGACCTGCAGCTACGCTTGCATCCAGGTTGCCCTGGCCATCTCATGGACCCATGGACACTAAAGAGATCCACACAAGTCCACTTCCACAAAGAAACCAGAAGATCTCAAGCCCTTAAAAGTCTTATAGCCGAGAGTGACGACAGCCACTCATGATGTCGGGGCCACCTAGCCCGCCTGCAGCTGAGCGAACCGAGATGTCTCTTTGGTCTGTTTGGGGGGCCCAATTTTCTTGAAGCCTTCACTGGCACCAGCTGCAACCCTGAATCTCTACATTCTCCGAGCTCTGTGTCAACTCGCAAGCATCCATGACAGTTGTGACAGTTGCAACTGCGACAAAGCAGAGGTCTCTCTCCTGCTCATCGTCTCTGGATGCTGCAGCCCTTGTGCAGGACTCCGCGGCTTGGCACCGCTTCACAGTTTGCAGGGCACGTGGAGATCGGATGGGGTTCCCACATTTCCCAATATTTCCCAGGTTTTGCACAGGTCTTTCCAGACATGTCCGAAGGCATAACGTGTGGTTGAAGAGGCTCCGGGGCAGTTTGCAAGTCTTGTCTTCGGTTCCCACGAGAGAGCCAGCTGCTCCAAGGATGCAACCATGGACCACAGGGCAGAGACTGGCTCTGATTCTTCCGAGGTCGCTATTTTTCTTTTTGTGGAGCCGACGGCCGTGTGGGTTTCTGTGGCTTCTTTGAGTCTGAGAGGCACTGCGCCTGGGCCGATCTGAGGACGAAGCTGAAGGCAGAAGGGCGTGCTGGTCATGGTCGTCGAATGGTCATAAATCCCAGTAGTCCTTTGTCATACAAATAAGACTGAGAAGCGTGATGATGGTGATGCATGGTTGCTTGGACAAAAGTGGATGCTGTGATGAAGTAGCGCTCAGCCTGATGCGCATCTTGTGCACGCCTCCGTGGTCCTCGTTTGCAGCTGCATTTTCCCATTTGAAGCGAGCCGATTCCCCCCCCTGATTATTCAGCGCCATGCAGAGGCTGATCATGGTTGCCGCTTTGGGCGTATGCTGGGCCGAGGATCCCAAAACGCCAGAGCTTCTCCCGAAGCCTCTCCAGTCTCCGCCTGCTGAGGCTACCTCCAATGCGAGCGTAGCTACTGGCAACAGCAGCACGCCTTTGACTGAGAAGATGCTGCCGACGCCAGCAGGAGTCAACAACACAAAGACAAATCTCCGCGGTGGTTGGGCCAACGGCTGGAATGGAGGCTGGAATGGAGGTGGCAACAACGGCGGGTGGAACGGAGGTGGCAACAACGGCGGGTGGAATGGAGGTGGCAACAGCGGTGGATGGAATGGAGGAGGCCACAATGGTGGAGGAGGCAACAACGGTGGATGGAACGGAGGAGGCAACAACGGTGGATGGAATGGAGGAGGCCACAATGGTGGAGGCAACAACGGTGGATGGAACGGAGGAGGAAACAATGGTGGATGGAATGGAGGAGGCAACAACGGTGGCGGCTGGGGCCACAATCCTCCTTCCAGCCAGTGGGGGCCTAGCAACAACTTTGGCTGGGGCCACGGTGTTACCGGGGAGACGTGCTGCATGTGCTCGCGGTCGAGAAATGGCAAGACCCAGCTGTACGCTGCCGGAGACTACAATCACAGGTACGGCTCACAGAGTGCCCACGAGCATTGTGATGATGTTTGTGAGATCCAGTGCCACTTCAAAGGGGGGCACAAGCTTGGCTGCTACGAGGAGCAGCAGCTCATCAGCATGAGCCGCCAATACCAGGGCCAGAGCAGCTTCGAGATTTTGCATGAAGATCATTTTGGCAGCATCTGTTGAGCCACAAGAGCTGTCTCAGCAGTCCTGTGCCTTGCGACTACTAGGCCACCCGTGGCTGCATTTAGGTCGCCCGGAGCCGGGGATTCAGTATAAAGCACCTCTCTGTGCGTTCCGGACTAATTCAGTCGCCACTTATGCGGCAGAACGTTCTATAGCTCCCTTGCTTTTGTTACTTTTGAGCATTTGAACGCATAGAATCTGCCGCGAGCCGCGAGCGTGTGAGAGATGCAGAAAGCCAAGTCCAGCCGTCCTGAAACTTGGAGGGATCAGTCAAGCATCGGGTGAGCGGATTTTGCTGGGGGTTTGCGCAGGCCATCAGACTTTCTGGGACCAGCTTTGCGCCTTGCAGCACGAACTGTCGGAGGTTGAAAGGACGGCACCCTCTTTCTTCTCCAGTTTGCTTGTGCGGTGTACTTGCAATGATCCAAGCTGATCGGCTACTGGGAGGAAGATTAACCGACACAGCACTCTGAGCGAGGTGCATCTGCATGGCTTCTTGTTCCTCTTCCTCTGGCTTCTCTGCTTGCGCCCAAAACCCTGAACCCGAAAACGGAGTAGACACTCGTGACGACCGGGCGCTGTCTGGAGGCCCGTCGGGCTGGCTGCACCCGGAACCGCCACTGTTCCTTGGATGGGAAGCATCTCAGCCCTGCAATTTCCGTCTTCCCCTGAATCCCAAGCCCCAGAGTTCCAACTCCCCCCCAATAAGCTCACCAAGCCTGGCAAAGTCCATTCAAAGGTTTTTTGAGGAAGGCATGGAGAGCCCTTAGCACGCAAGCGACGCGAGGTTGGGTCATCCTGCATCAAGGCCGGCCAACGTCCGCGCTGGGCTGAGTTATCCACATGATGGGGCAGTTGAGTGGGATTTCGTTCGCCTCAGTGCAACTTGCTGAGTGGTTGAGGTCTGCACTCAATCCCAATAGCCTGAAATCGCTCCGCACACCTTCAACATCCTTCAACCCCAAAACCTCAACCAGGCCCTCAAACTCTGAGCCCTGAACCTGATATTCTCAAGGCCCCCCAACTCCTGAAAGCTCTCAGCCCTAAACCCTAAAACCGAAGCCCTACACCCAAATTACTCTCAAAATGAATCCCTAAGGTCGCCAAGCGCTTCCGGGGAATGCTGCCCCCAGAGCTTGATTCGGCGCTCCCGGCCCAAGAGGGTTTTGGGGGAATACCCTTTTCGGGTTCTTGGTTCGGGGTTTAAGGTTTTAAGGTTTAGGGTTAAGGGTTTAGGGTACTTTTCGGGTCAGGGTGGTTTTGCTTTGCTTGTTGTTTTGAAGGGAACGAGGGAGTTAGGCTTGGGGAGCCTAAATGCGCAGGCACAGGCCAGGGTCGGAGTTGCCGATGTCAATCCAGCCCCTACGAAATGGCCATCCGAGCCCTCCCGCCTGTGGGCCTACATTAGTCCGCAAAGAAGATGAGTAAGCCCTCAAGTTAGGTTGGTGGGCCTTTGGCCGTGACATCTCGAGAGGGTCCGGGTTTCGCTTGGGGTCTTGCAGCTTGAGCACATCCACCTGTCATCCTTGGGCAGTCGATAATATGAAATTCCAACTCCCAAGACACGCAGATGCCCAACCTGGGGACCTTCGGCAGCAGAAGCACTGGCTCGCTAGAAGGGTCCTTGAGCTCCGGCCGGTCAGCTCGTTGGTCATGTCCCAGCGGGCTCATCTCACCTCAACCTGGGATCGAGCACCGTTCGCGGAGTGAAGGCGTAGCAGGGCCTCGCCCAATCCTGCTCCCAAGTATCCGACACTCGGCACAACGCCAAGGGCCCGCGCAAGCCGAAAGTGACAGTGGATGCGTGCTTTTGCGGAAATCCATGACATGCGCCTTTTGGAATTTCCAGGGAACACACAGTCTCCGTGCTTTGCCCTTGGCCTTGGCCCGTTCCTTACCCTGAAGCCTGTAACTGCCCTGCCGGCCACGCGTTTTAGTATTGACCCCAACAATGCATGCTTTCAGGTCAGGAGTTTAGGTCAGGGGGCCCATCACCTAGTTTCACCCTGCCGCCGCCAGGCCATTGGCGATTCTCCAGTGTTGGCCACAGAGACGGAGTTTTCAAGATTTCGGACTGCCTGTATCTCAAGGGTCCTGCGTCAATATGAAGTTTTGGAGGGTTGACTCACATCGACGCGCACAGAGGGATTCTGATGCCAGACGCCAATGGAGAGCAAGATCGATGTTGTAGCAAGGGATCGATCTTGCACCAGGGGTTCCCTAGACTCCTTGGTTTTCAGATGTAAGGGGTGCCCAAGACGAACTCCACCCACCGCAGAGCAAACACGGGGATTAGGGGCAGCAGCAGCTCAAATACTCGGATTTTCCAGCTTACTAATTACTGTAATCCCTACGAAGCCCAAAGGCACACACCAGTCCTACACCCTGAGCCCTGAGCCGTTGTGACTGGCATTCCTGAGGTGCGTTCTGTCACCTCAGGCACGGGCTTGGATGACATGCAACTCTTGCAGTTGCATTCCTTTCATTGAACTCTCATTGAACTCTCGAGTCTGTGGCCGCCTCAGGCTTCGGAATGGAGGATCGCCGCTTGCAGGTCATTCCGGACTCGGAGGTTTCACCTGAGCCGCAGCGGCGCCCCGTCACCCGCGCAAAGCCGCGGTCAAGGGAGCCGTTGCCAACAACCCTGGCTCCGACCTTTTGCCTCAGTGACACGCACGCAAAACACGCAGATGTGGCAGAGAGGGGTTCCCGTCTGCTGCGGAAGTCGGTGCTGCCCGCCGCCCCACGAGGCCGTTTGAGAGCCGCCGTCCCTGCCGCTCTTTCGGACGCCGGGCGCGCTGACCCGGCTCCAAGCGGCAGCCTGCCGCACCTGCCTGTGCAGGTGGACCGCGCCATGTCCTTCAAAGACAAGGACGCCAAGGACGCTGTCAACGCTGCAGCCGATTTGCATGGCATCGTGAGCCTAGATGTGGAAGTAGACACGCCCGCCTCGGTGACTTTGGACTGCCCGTCCAAGGCATCCAAGACAGAGAGCTCTCCTGTTGACAAGGAAGAGGACATGCTGCTCCAGCTTCAGCAGCTAGCCGCCTCCGTGCGACCGGCCGAACCGGCCGAGTCGAGCTCGGAAATCTCGGAATCTGAAGCTGAGAAGCTCGTTGAGAAGCTCGTTGTAACCCAAGATCAGCACGGGCACGGCAGCATGCCCAGCATGCCCAGCATGCCCAGCATGCCCAGCATGCCCAAGCCCAGCATAACCCCTGACATGCCGCAGCGAGCGGCGTCTGAGGCGGACGAGCACGATATTCAAGATGTGCTTGAAATGTTACAGGAAGCTTCCGAGAGCTCTGAGAACTCAGCGGACACGTTGGAGGCGGATGAGGCGGTTGAGGAAGAGGAAGAAGAGGAAGAGGAGGAGGAGGAGGAAGAGGAAGAGGAAGAAGCAGAATCTGAGTCTAAGGAGTCCCAGGGCTTGCACGTTGCGGCGACGAAAAAGTCCGGGTGAAAAAGACTATGCTGGCAATACCGCAGCACAGTGTCTGAAACACTCCTCTGCTGTGTGTGTTGACTGCGTACCTTCCTGAAGACTTGCAGGCTCCCACGACGCCCACACTCCCACATGCACACAGTCTCGCACGGTCTCAGCGCAAACCGTACAGGAACTCAAGTGCAAATGACAAGTGCTACATTGCTAGGTAGTGCTACTTCAGGCAATGTCAGGCATGTAGATGGAGCGACTGAGCTCATGGCTCTGCGGCAGGAGGAGGGCCCCGCACTCAGCTCTGGTGAACACCATCCAGGCATTTCAAGAGCCATCTTTGAGTTTTCGGACTCCTTGAGCTCACTTGAGCTCGAGGTTGGCATGCCGCTCACGCAGGGACCTTCGGCGACCGCTGGAGCGAGCTTGCCGTGGCGTTGGAGCGAGTCTGAAGCTCAGGCGACAGCTAAGTACGACATCCGCTATAGTATGCTATATTTGTGTTACCAACGTTCGTGCTCTGACTGGCTCCCAGCCTCTCGTGTCTGATGTGGGGTGCTGTTTCAGGGGCTCCATACCGGTCCGAAATCTGTCGGCCTGGAACCGCTAGAAGAATGCTAGAAAGCACTAGATGATAGTCCACTTCTTTCGTGCACAGAACTTTGTGCAAGCTCAAGATCCCCATGCGACGTCCGAAGCGCGCCGCCCAGGATCATGAGCACCTGTGCTTCGTGAACCCCTTCGTGCCTCCCGCAGAGCTGGCCATCATCCACGAAGACTACGGCCAGGATCCCAAGTGACCACCCTCAACGGTCCTAGCCCAAGCAGCACGAGATCCGCTTAGCCCATGTGGCCCTAAGCCAGCTCTACCCCCCACCCCCTTCTGGTAGATTAACAGTGCAGTTCGTTGTTTGGATGCAGCCGTGTGTAGCTTTAAAGCCCCTCAAAACCTCTGCTGCACCCCCCCATTCTGTGGCGTGGTCCCCTCAGCCTCCCGGTTTCGGGTTTAAGGTGTAGGGTTTCGGGTTTAGGGTTTCAGGTTTAGGGTTTAGGGTCCCCCCTACCCTCCCCTCTGTGGGGTGGTTAGGGTTAGGTTAAGGGTGAAAGGTTTAGGGTTTAGGGTTTGCGGTTTAAGGTTTAGGGTTGAGGGGAGGGGGGGCTTAATTTCTTTTAAAGTCTCTTAAGGAAGTTAAAGCCTTTCACTGGGCCTTTTGAACTGATTCAGGCGCTTAAAGTTTTTGAATGGGCCTCCTATTTTGCTTTTAGCATCTTAAGGGATTTCTCATGGATACTGTTGCTTATTTAACTTTTCAAAGCTTCAACTTCCTTAAGCATCCGTACATTATGCTCAAACGTGCCTCCGATGTTTTTGTTCAAGGATGCGGAGGCATTTCGAGCCTTTAACTGCATCTTTAAGTTCCATGTCGCCTCCACTTGTGATCCAACAAACTTAAATTGGCCTTGAGTGGCTTAACATCCTGAAATTTTTCGTGTGCCTCCTATCTTGTTTAAGGAGTTTCAGGGGTCTAAAAAACGTTTGGAATTCTAAAGCACAATGGAATCCTTGCAGTCATCAAAGTTGAAATGGGGCCTGCTATTCTTGGTGTCAGGATTTTAAGGACTTTTAAGCCTTTACATTGGCCTCCAAGTTCCTGTTTACATGCAAAATTTAACTGGGGCCTCGAAGTTGGATACGCATTTAACTTTAAACTCTTCAAATTCCTCAAGGCCCTTACGTAAAACTCCAAAGAAGCCTCTTATATCCTCTTATGTTTTTTTAAGGATGTCAAGAAATTTGGAGCGTTGAACTGGGCCTTTAAACTCCATGCCGCCTGGGCATCCTTTTTAGACATCATAATATAGATATAATACAAGAGCGACTATGTACAACAGAGTCTGAAATAAGTAGCTAGATAGATACAAATGAATCTTTGTTCAGGCCTACAGCCCACCTGCATCCCCGGCGCCTTCGACTTTGCTCTCCCGGAGGATCCTCATCGTCAGTGCAAGGCTGAGCTTCTTCCCTGAGAGAAGGCTCCTTAAGGGGAGAGGTTTTGTTTGGTTGTTGTTCTTCTTCTGAGTGGAGTTTTGCTTTCGTTTCTGTGTGTCTAGGTTTAGGGGGTTTAGATGGCGGAGTTTAGAAGCACCGTCAGTGTTGAGGTTCCCAATCGTGGACGCCAGCGAGGAGCGGCACGTTTACGTTGAACGGATACGCGTGGAGCTCAGCATTGGGCATCGGCCACGGAGAACAGCATAGTTTCGGTTTTGCTGACGCTGGCCAAACCTCTTTCCCCTGTTGTCTTTGGTTCATGAAACCCATCCATATTCGCAGGTAGGCATGCGCAGGCATGCACATGCTCACAGGTCAGATTCCTTTATTAAGCGCGTTTTTGTCTCTTGAGTCTCTTACTCTAACGAGACCAGACACATTCAATGTCAAGGCCCCCGAGATTTCAATTCGAACTTGGGTTCGGCGAGTGAAACTCAGGCCCTGAGAGGCACGAGGTCTGGCCCTCAGCATTGCTGTGAGCATCTGGCAACGAGCCCTGAGATTCCCAACCGGGAAGCACCCTGACACTCCTAACCCTGAACTGTGCACTGAACCCCTAGCCTCTCTAGCCGCTCACCCGCAGTTTTGGACCTTCACTGCCTCAAAGCACTGAAAGCACTCACCTCATTCTCTTACGAGTTCTGGCCGCTTCAACATGAAAAGCGGCTGTTGTTCCAAATTCGGGCCCCCCATTGGAGGTACCTTGTTGGTATGGATTCCCAATTGACATGTGAACCTCGAAAACTCCAGAAGACTCTGCTTTGGAACAGAAAGTGGAAATCCGAGCCATGGTGGCCCAGGTGGAGGTCCTGGGTGCCTCGCCAGGCGCATGAAGCCTGCTGAGCCGCGGTGGCTTGAGTCTTTTGATGTAGATCCTCCTATCCACCCCAAAGCTTGAACCTCCAGCCCCTCTAACCCAGCTCGCAGCTCGAATCCTGCTCGCCAGGGGAGGAGCTGTCGCCCTTTCTGCTAGCTGAGGCCCCGCTTAGGGGTGCTGGTTCGGGCTTACGGCTTGGCTGTCTGTCGCTCGAAATGACGACGATGTAGATTCTTAACAGAGGCCTTGAGCGAGGGGCCAGCCCAGAGCAGCACGATGTCTTTGTCCGATGGGTTTGTGAGGTTTCATCTCGGGTTGAGAAGCACGATGGTCTTGTCAGGAATTCTCCAAACAGGGCAGTTCATTCTACGTTGCTTGCAGCAGAACCTCTGGCATATCCCAGGGTGCTTCACTGATCGTTGCGGCGGCCTTGCAAGTGGAGGCTCGCTTCGAAAGGGTCTCTTGGTGCTCAATGGTCTCAATGGAGGTCATGCTGTTTCAGAAAAATCTTGCCGATCAGGAGGGTGATTACGTTCTGGATGCCTGCGCAACTGGTGCCACTTCGCGGGCCCCCTAAACAACAAGATGTCATCCCTTGATTCCGAGGCAGTCGGTGAGTGTTTTCTGCTCCAATGCGGAGGTTTGCCCTGGCGGCGGCATTGTTTTCGGCCCGATGTCCACGCGGTCATGCATTGCTGGGGCTCAGATCCTGCTGAAATGAAGCCTCTCTGGTGTTTGGGCTGCTCCAGGCCGCAGAACTTGCAAGGCCGCCTGGTTTGCAACGAGGCTGGTTTCCAAGATCTTGCTTGGCTGCTGCTCGACAGTCTCGACTGAGTTGCTCCTTTGCACTTCAACACACTGTGATTTTCTCAAGATGGTGAAATCCCGTGCTGCGCTCGTGCAACAAATGCTGCCTGGCTGTCTCGCTTCAGTGCTGAGAGCCTAAACCCTATTGGGACTTCAACCACCGAGACCCATCTCATGGCTGAGCCGCCCAAGACTCCCACACTCGATGCAGTAACGCCTACACATCCAAAAAACACCCGAAAGCCCCAAAAGTTCAAAAGCTTTTCATGCTCAAGGGGGTGCCTTTTTGCGTCGAAGAGTCCAAGTGCCAGGCGACTGCTGCTGCCTTGGCGGCTCTTCGATCCGAAGGCGGTCGAGTGTGTCATGCTGTCCATGCTCGGGATTCTAGGGTTGAGGGTTCGCGAAGCTTCGGGGGCAGTTGCGGGGTTTATAGGGTTGTGGGTCATGACCCAGGGTCTCCCATGATCGGAGGCCAGCCTGGCGGGGCACGGCCCTCGTGTCGCGGGGCTCTCATCCCGTGGGGGAAGCGACACTATTGCTATGAATGTCAGTATGAAGAATATGCACGTGAATACTAAGGTCTTTCGGTCTTCTTGTTCATCCTGAAAGCAAGTCGCTGTCCACCTTAAGCTCATAGCCCGCCTTCGCTGAGGTGTTGACCTCGGTCGATTTGGGCACGACATCAAACGCCGCTGAAAAGCCCATGCCGCAGTTGTATATGGCTGTGTGGCTGCAAACCGTTGAGATGCCGGATAGACTTCGGGAAAACTCAGCTTGTGGTAGAGGTTGGCGCCCTACAGCAAGATCCTTCTGGGTCCTCCGTGCTCGGGGCTGAGCAGCAGTGAGCGCAACACCATGCAGAACACAAACTCCCTAAACCATAAACCCTAAACAACCCTACATCCTCAAAGCCTCTAAGCGACTCAACAAACCCTCAAGCTCCCTCCCTAAACCCTAAACCCCTAACCTCTAAACCAAGCCCTGGTGCCTTCTGCCTGGAGGTACGGACGACAAGGCCCTGCTGCGCGGCTCCTGTCCTGGTGGCCTGTCGCGATGGTCTGCCTCCACTGCCAAGGCACTGGTTCTCTCCGCCCTGAGCATCTGTTAGGGTTGGGGTTGGGTTTTGTTGGGTTTTGTTGGGGTTCAGTTCTTGGGGCCGTGCGATCTCTGTGATCTCTGTAGATGCAGAGCTTGAAAGCGCTGTGGAGCCCTGCTTTTGGAGAGAGCAGGTCAGTGCCGAGACCAGAGCTGAGCATGCGAAATCGGTGGCTTTGCAGCTAGGATGCAGAGACATGTGGCGCTTGAGGCGACAGCTGAAGTGGCTGCACAATGCGTGCTGGCCCCGGAGCCGAGCCTCTTTGGGCTGTGTCTCCTGGAAGCTCCAGAAGATCTCAGACAGGCTGTGGTTGCTGCGCGAGGGAGGCGTGCTGCTTTACTTCAACCGTGCGCCAGGGCCTCAGAGCCTTTCGGAATCTCAGGGCTGATGTCTTGCGTTTGAGAGTTTGAGAGTTTACGTGTGGTGAGGGAGGGTTCGCGAATCTCCTTGTTGACCTTGGAGATTTCCTTCGTCTCTGGCGGCGTTGGCTCGGGATTCGGCAGTGTAGCTGTGACTGTACGCAGGCACCACGACTTTTGGCGGGGGGCACCATCTCGGCAAGAATCCTTGTTGGAATCTAGGCCATCTGAGCGAAGCGAACACGGTTCACGTGTTCAACGGTCGCTATTTTTGGTTTCTCTTCTGATCTTTACTGTCGTCAGTTCCTTATGCCAGTGTAGTTCACATGTTTGGACGGCCACTTACTTCGTGTTTCTGTCATGCGGAAAGTTTAGATCGTCGTTCAGTTTCGTGACAATCCGTCCTCGTCTTGAAATTGAGCCCACCTTTCCTCACTGTCGTGTCGCAGTCTTTCTGTTGGTAATGCTGATTTTGCCTTGGAGGTCTTCCAGTTCAGTCGCGGCTTTGTGTGCTTGTTCTCGTGCGCTCTTCTGCGATGCGCAGTGTTGCTGCAATGTCCAGAGCACATGATCCTCTTTTCTTAAGCGGTATCCCTTGCGTCATCCTATGGCCTTATCTAGATTTTGCAGTGTTTTTGTGTGTTAATTCTGAGTGTAAACGCTCGTCTTTCATCTCGATGATCTCGATGGTGTTTGAATGGATGTCGTGGGTGCACACTTCCTGCGCAAACATGCCCTCTCTCTGGTCTCTAGCAAGCTGGAGACTCTGGGCCACTCAACACTTCCCCCTTTTAGGGCTAGCAATGCTATGCGGCAGTGAAGGTTTTTTGAATAGTCACCAATCCGCACTTCTCAGGCTCGCCCCAGAGGAAGGAGATGGCGTGATCGAGCGACTTTTCAAGCGCGTGGAGGGGACTTTCGATTTGCAGGCTCAACCCATGTTTCCTCGAACTAACGGGTTTATGCCTTTTGGAGGGTTTGAAGGGTTGTTCTAAGCGTCGCTATGATGCCTTTCTTGGCATGGAATTCCTAATCTTAAAGGATCGCCGTGGAACAACCTTCATCTTAAGCCCAACGGAGCAGGTGGTTCGTTCTACAAGTTCGGGTCCCTTTGCAGCCCCCCCACAAGTTCTGGCTTCTCAGATGGGATCATTTGGAACTGACCAGGTGGATCCACTTGATGAGCTGGTTGCCAGTTGGCGCCTGAGAGTCCGCTTTCGAGATACGGCCATGCCCACTGTTTTGCTTGGCAGCTCGTGGGTACCTACAGGGCAGTCATACATTTAGTCGTGTCTGGAACTGACTACAGGGGACCTTGCCTGTGACCTTACTCAAAACTACCCATAAAGTTCGAGCAACGCTGGTTTTGCAGTTGATGCAGAGTCTGGGCAGGAAACGTCTCCAAGCTGTCGTAGCTTGGAATCTCTACTCAATGATATGTGACATGAAATTGTAAAGTTGAAGGCTTGTCCGTTTTCATTCAGGTTCCTAGTATGACTGGTTTCCCTGCCTTTTGTTATTCATTACCCTTGTCCGTGCTGCCGAGGCATGATACCGGGGCTTGCTGCCGAGCCCACCGATTGGGGCCGACACCTCGTGTCCGGTTTCAGGGGCTTCTGGGAGTTTGGCGGATGGCGAGGGAAGATCGGCACAAGGGTTTGGCATCCGGGTTGAGGGTGCAGTTTGTCGTGTTGATTTGCCAGCGGCTTCAACTCCCTTGGTCAAGGTGCCAGGATCATGCCGGACAAAACGTGCGGTTCCTGGAAAGGCAAATGCTTCCTGATGGCCACGACATCTTCATGCGGTTCTGCAAGTGCATGACCGCTACAGTTGCGATTGTCCCGACACTTCACGGACGAGGTCTTTCGGGCCCATGTTCTTCAGCCGAATCCGGTTGATCAGACGTACGCACCAGGCCCGAACAGTCTGGTTGCTGTGGGAAGGCGCGTTGTCATCCAACAGCCTTCATGGCTGAGTTTTTGCCAGGGCCATGATCGCTGAGCATTCAGACACAAGAGTTGAGCATTTCACCACAAGCTGCAATCTTTCCCCGTCGGATGAGACATTCATTAAACATGTGCAGCTCAAGCTAGACAGTTGCTAGCAATATGTAAAGTCCAGTCACGGGGGGAGAGTTAGTGAGGCGGCTTGCATAGCGTTGAGTCTCCTAACTTTGGAGACTCCGTCGAACATAGCGGCAGTATGGCGTCACATCAGCGTGTCATTGTTATGCCTCTGCCTCCATGTGATGTTGGCCGAAGCGCTGACAAAGAAAGTAATTGCTGTCGATGCCCCTCTGTGTCCGTGTGTGCTAGAGCTGACAGAGTGAAAGGCATGGTCATGCTGGACTTATTGGGAGCAATGTGAACCCACCCGGAGTTTCAGGTCTCCAGTTCCCTTGGCAAGTGCACAGAGAGCCTGGGCAGGTTGCAAAGAAGCAACAAGCTTAACGATAGAGGCATCAGCTTTTGCGCAACATGAAAATCAACACGCAGACACTGTCCAGCAACGCGGGATTTTAGAAGCTCTCCGGTCCTGGTGGTTCGCCGGGGCCTCGGGACAGCACAGATGGTAGCTGACACCAAGCCTCGGGGGCTTGGAGCACAGCTTTAAGAGGTTGTTGGGACTATGGACGGGTTTCTGAATTGGCATGAGCTGGCCAAGGTCACAAATGGCCAGTTTGGCCGCCAGGCAGATTGCCAGGCCTGGCTGAGCATAATTCTAACAGCCTTCCACGCATTCAAATCACTTTCCGTCGAGTGTAGGTGCCCGCATGACAAGCAATGAGCACCTGTAGAAGTTCAAGTAGCAGTTCGTAGTCAGAGAAAGATAGCTGCTGGAAGGACACGAACTTGAACAGAACCACTGGTTTGGCACAAATGTCAAGCGTAGCTCACTTCAGGATCTTTCATACCCCGCAATGCGAGTCATGTGCTCGAGGTCATGGGGGCTTGGCTTCCGAGGGCTAGCAGCAGCAGCTGGACCAGTGGGTGGTCGTCTGAACTGCTTTGCGAGTCGCAACTCGCAGGCGCCACAAAAGAGTTGCTTGTCATTTGTTTTGCTTTTGCCTTGAGGCTTCATAGGCCTGGGAAACATGGGTCGCTGTCTGAGCGATGCCGCATCTATTCCGCTGCCTGTCGCAAGCTGAAGTGGCTTGAGGTGGGCCGATGGCACGGAACCTCCTGAAAGCCGGACACGAGGCTTTGTATATTGGCCTTCGTAGCTTCTTGTTCATGTCGCAGACGATTCGTTTGCTGACGAGGAAGGGAGCAGTCTAGAAGCCGCTACCAGGTACAGTTGATCAGTGATCATCTGCAGGAAGGGAAAGGACGAGGGAGGCAGGGATGCAAGGGTAAGAGGAGGAGGATGAAAAGAGATGAGAAGGCTGAAAAAGGAAGGGCGGAAGCAGCAGCTACCTACATGTGTATGCCAAACACCACATACTCACCAGTGTCCTCATGACAGTTCCAATATCTCCATTTGCCAGTGCCAAATCCAATCGTTGCACACATCGAAAAGTGGCCCGAAACCAAAGTCATAGTGCAGTACCGAAACGCCCATCAATCCAGCGCATGGTGTTTTTGGAGGTTGTTGGGTTCGACGTTTCTGAGCAAAACCTCGCCAAGCTTGCCGAAGCTGGGGGACGCCCAGCACCGTTCCCGCCTCAAAGATTATCCGGTCTCGTACAGCCGCTCCCGCCTCAACGGTCATCCGGTCACGTACATCCGGTCGCACTTCGACCCAAGATCAGTACGTAACCCTACAACATGGCTTCTCAGATCCAGGTCCCCGCTTGCAGTGGCGGCAGAAGCAAAGACTGTGGTCACCATGCTTCCGGCTGGTGCGCATGTGCGCGAGGCCCGCTTTGGGTCGGGGCAGGGGGCCAAACACGAGACAACGAAACAGCCTGCCTTAGCTGTGTTGAGTTCGTTTGTTGGCGATTGCCCTCCACCCTCCCCAAAACACAGTCCAGCTGCATCCTATCAGCTACTGTAAGCTGAGGTGTACTTGGGGAGCAATGGGCTTCTGCTTGATGGTGGAGCTGCTGCCTTAGGCTGTATGTGATATGCTGTGTATCGCGAGATGCTTGGTTAGAGCTGGGTTTTTCTTGAGGCATCTTCGGGGTCACTCCTGATTGATTGCTCCACCTGTGAGCCCCATGTGGGCAAGGAGGCAACGTTCTCTGGGGACATGTTTTCGACTGCCTCAGCTCTTGTCGGGAATGAATCCCTGCATCGCAGGTGGCAGCAGCTGCTGCAAAGAGAGGTGCGTGAGGACGTTCAAGGCTTGGATACTTGATGGCTTGCAGCGGAGGTGCTGTCGCAGTGGATGCGCCGGTTTCAGGCGGCACGCCCGCTGCGGAGCAGGCAGTCTAGTAGAGTCTAGCCCCTCGCAGCCTAAGCGTCCAACATCCTGAGAATCTGTGCAGGGAACCCTGACGTTTATGGTCGGTGGGCCTGGCTCCTCAGCTTGCCCAGCTCCCATCAGCTCTTCCCTTTCTGACCTTTTTTGGCCTCGCACCCACGAGGCCGGAGGACGCTTTTCAAGCTGCGAGTCTCATCCTGCAGCACATGGGAAAGAAGGTGCGGTGACCTGTGACCAGCGCATGGCCCAATCAGTAACAGAGTAACAGTTGTGGAGGTGGTGCATTGTGGAGATGCAGGGATGGGTCAGGCTGGAGCACTACGGCAATCTTCTGGGATCTTAGACTTGCGCTTTTTGAGGCGGCCAAGCTTTGCAACAACCTCGTTCTGGGAATTACCATGGCCGCCGTCTGCGAGGTACCCCAAACCCAGAACCCTAAACCCAAAGCCGTTCCGCTTGACTAAGACACCCAAAATGCAAAAGAAGAAGCCGCAGCGAAGCACCCGAGTGGGCAGGGCCATGCTCTTGCTGGCCGCCTGGGCCTGGATCAGAGGATTGGGGTCCCAAACGAGCACCACAGAGCTATAGCCGGCGGGAAAGCTGCAAGGGAGATAAACGCGGAGTATAAGGTGGCCAGGTGTGTTGGTTCAACAAGGTTGCGCAAGCGTGCCCTGCACGTCCCTGGCAACCCAGATTCCCCTGGGAGGAAGCTAGCGGACATTCTCAACACCAGTTCTGGGAGGCCTGTTTGAGTAAATGGCGATGTTCGGATGAGTTAGGGCTCCATTGTTTCAAGATTTTTTTCAGGAGTACCGAGTCCATGGCACCGCGGTTCCCAGGTGCTGGAGCAGCGACACCTACAACCCCTGCCCCGGTGTCATGGAAGGGGCGCCGGCGTCATGTTTCCGAGGGTTTGATGTTGCTCACAGGGCTTTGCTGCTTTTCTGCTTACTTTTTGAACTCCGCGCTGTGGGGATTGCTAGACTTCAAGTCAGCTATTCTCCTCACATGGGGGTCATCTGGTCCGAGTCTCCCACTCGGAGGGGGGGGGGGTAAATTGATGTACCTTGGTTTTGGAGGGGGGGGGGGGGGGTAAATTGATAGATCAATACCTGAAGGGGGGGGGGGGCGTTTTTGCGTCAAGACCTGACTCCGTCGCGTGTTGACCGCAGTGCGTGAGTCAGGCTCCCAGCACAACATGCAGCGAGCTAGTTGATTGCAAGAAGCTAGTATCTACCCAACATGGAGACCCCTCAAGCATGCCTCCAACAGGTCCCTGCCCACACTTTCTCATGCAACTTTGCTCTTGCTTCCGGCCCCCGAGCTTTCGTCCTCCCTGCCTCCGGCCCTCAAGTCTAGCCCAATCTCCTGGTTGGCCAGGTTCCTTCAGCCAGGGGCTACAGTGGGGGATTCGCATGCGACTTGATGCTGAAGGCAGTCAGCGTCTGCCACCCTGCGAGCATCTTTCGGCTTTGTGCAGCGCCCTGAACCCACCCTGAGCCTAAACCGCCTAGCAATGCCTAAACCTCCTAAACCTCCTAAACCTCCTAAACCCGAAAATCGAAGTTGACCTTCCAGGATCTGAACCTGGCCACGTCAGCCGCCTTCGTGTCCCAGCCAAAGCTGGGCCTTCCGCTTGGAGGCGACCCGCGGACTTCACGCCCTCTACGACTCTTACGATTCCACGAGGGACGACTCACTAAACTCTTGTGTGCGTGTGTGAGCGGCCACTTTGCAAAAAGGTCCTGCTACGAGTCTTTTTGGTTTCTGCAGGGGAACGTGGCATGTGATCAGAGGCCAGCATGAATCCACCTGATCTCATGGGAAGCAGGGTTTGGTTATTCCTCCTCGTTTCTTGTTCAACCTCCTCCTGAAAATTTTGCATGCAGCAAACCAGACCAGCCGGCCGAAGAGGAAACACAGCAGTTCTTCTGCAAGGGCAGAGAGCACCCAGAAACCCCAAAACCCAAGGCCCAAACCCCCCGCCCCCCCCACACGGGCGCCGTGAGACCGTGGGCGGGGTGGAGGAGGGGAGGGTTGCGACACCGCACCAGCGTGAGAATTGAAAAGCTTCGATTTAGAAGTGAGAACTCTCCCGAAATCTCATAGCCCTGACCTAATACCACGAAACTGAAGTGAGACATTTTTGTCAGATGAGCGCCCTGTCACTATCAGGTGCCAAACCAAATTCTAAAGACAAAGATCAGAGCAAGAGTCCGAAAATGCCGCGAGGATCATCCCGAGCCATGCTCCGAGCCGAATGTTTAAGCCGACGTATCCCACAGTACAGTTTCGACCTCCCCCATTGTCTCTGAATGTCTCTGAGAATGCCAGGCTTGGCCTTGCAGCTCTACTCCCAGATGAGCTCCCGGGGAGACGGCGGCAAGGCACGATGAATGTATCGAATAGCCAAGGCACATTCCATGCGCCGATGTGAGCCTATGCATTCTCCTCGCCTGCTTTTGTGCGCTGGACTTGTCTTTGTCAGCAGTGTTTGGCCCAGTCGAAACAAAAACTGGCCTGTTTGCTCCCTGCACATGGCGAACCTTGTTGGGGACGCGGTGAATGTGGACGGCAGCGCGTCTGGCCCCGTAGTCGGAGTCCCTGTGGAGGTCAAGGTGGTGCCCAATGGGGGCAGCGGAAAGCCGCTTGCAGAGGTTCCGCCCTGTTGCTGTGGGCCGGAGCCCTCTTGCTGGGAGAGGTGCCTGATTGGCACCTGCTTCGGCTGCTGTGGGCCCTGCTTCCCCTGCTGGGGCTTCTTCCTCATCGGCTGGCTCTTCACCATGCTTTTCGTGCGTGAGGTTCAAGTGCAAGGAACGGACATCTTCTCCTTTGAAGATCCTGCAGTGGAAAGCAACCTCAAGGTGCAACAGTGGTTTGGCTACCAAGCTGCCCTGAGCGAGCGGCCCGGTTGTTCTGACCAGAGGCACGAGGACCAGGCGGTTTGCGAGGCCGACGAACTTTGTGAGTGGGTGAGGCGAGGCCCTGGCGGTTCTTGCCGCGACATTGAGTGCCCTGGACCTGCACCCAAGGCGCGCCAAAACCCGCTGTACCTGGACTTTCTCCCGGCATTCATCAGCACGATCTACGAGGCGGTTGAGGAAGATGGCAACATCCTGGACGACGACATCATGCAAATCATCAAAAACTACGAGCAGGAGCTCTTCACTGACGTTGACGGCGCTGAGTACACCGACAACGGTGTGACACGGGCCTCTCCATGGGATGACGACTGGTGTTTGATGTCCTATCCGGGCCATGGCTTTGGCTCTCCGAAGTGTGCATCGGGCGTCGGCCTGACACACGTGTTCTCGATGGATTCGGCAGGCTTGAACAAGATTCAGGAGCAGGGCCTTGCCGGCTTCAACCAGCTGGGGCTTGGAGGCATGATGGCCTGCATCTGCCAGATGGAAGAGTCGTGCCAAGTCTGCAACAGCGACGGCACGATGAAGCCCAAGACCGCCTGGCCGTCCTCCATCCAAACGTGCATCGCCGACTGGAAAAGCAACGTCATCTCCATGTCCCAGGCCCAGTCAAACGAACCGACGACCACCACCACCACCCTGGACCCTACTTCTGCCCTTGGCCAACTCTGCTCAGCGGGTCCGGCCGGCTTCGGCGGCGGCTTTGCAACATCCAGTGGCCCCGTCAATACCATGGTCCTGGATATGGTTGAGCAGCAAATGGTTCAGACGGTGGCGGCCGGGTGCGCATCCAACATGACATGTGGCTGGTCTCCTCCTGGAACACATCGGATCTGCACTTCCTCGGCCTACTTTCCGGCCACGGATGCCACGGGCCTGGTCACAGGTGCTGCGAAGGAGGCAATCCTTGACAAGCTGTGTGATCCCACGTTGCCGCTCTGGTGGAACCTGAAGAACAGTTTCATGCCAATCAGCTTTGATTGTGCGACACGGAAGAGCAAGTACACCCTCTCCCGCTTCTTTGCAGGAGCCACCGACCCGGAGGATGATAAAGAAGGTGAGAGATTCCAGCTGGGATATGTGGAAGGTCGAACCGGTTGGTATTCCAAGGCTGCACGGATTGAGGCAAAGTACGAGAGGGAGCATGGCAGCAAGCTCCGCATCATGCTGTTCTCTGGTGCCACACTGATCGCCCAGTACCTGGGGATCCTCCTGGTGGATGGCTTCCTCTCCCTCGGTTCGCTGGTGTCGGTTTGGGCATACATGTGGCTCATGTTGGAAAGTCTGGAGCCCAGATGAGCCCAGCACACTTCTGCCAGTGCCTTGCCAGTGCCTTGCCAGTGCCTTGCCAGTGCCTTCATCATGCGGACGCATCGTTGAGCTTGCTCAGGTGTGTTTCTGGCGTCCTGTGGAATGTTCGAGCCGCTTTTCTGGCATTCAGTTCTAAAGTGTTGTCGTTGTTCTCATTCTAGACATTGAGTGCACGTCTGTACCATAAAAATCGCCGACTCCCGACTCCACGTACGAATCCTGCTCTCCTTAAGGATCGTTTTCTCTCTTCCAGTCGGGATGTGCCTGTGGGTGCTTATCCTGGGACAGAAGATCTTCTGGTACCAGATGCTTGTGATCTACATGATTCTGGGCATCGGCGCTGACGATGTTTTCATTTTCTATGATGCTTGGTTGCAGTCCGCCCATGCCGAGGGTGTGAACCACAGCAAGACAACTCGTTTCTGCTGGGCCTATCGGAGATCGGTGGGAGCGATGTTGGTGACTACGTTGACCACTTGCGGCTCCTTTGTCATCGGTGCTACATCGCCCCTGCCCTTGGTTCAGAGCTTCTGCATCTTTGCAGCGGTTGTGGTTCTGGTCGATTACCTCTTCTGCATCAGCTTCTTCGCCTCTGCAGTGTTGGTCTACGACGAGTGGATCAAGGGCTTTGGCTACTGCTGCCGCTGCTGTGGCATCGAGGTCCGTGAGCCAGGCACTTGTGGTGGCCCAGGCTGCTGCTTCGGAGGCCTCCGCGCCCTTCTGAGCTGCTGCGGCAACAGCTGGAAGTGCATGCCGAAGCCTCCTAAGCCGGAGGACCCCCCAGAGCCCCGCGCCATGGAGAAGTTCTTTGCCGGGCCAGTCTTCCGCTTCTACCAGTCTCACAAGATCAAGCTCATCCTCTTCTGGCTCGTAGTGGTCATCGGCATGGCCACGAGCGCGGGGGTTCAGCTGCGTACCGCCAAAAAGAGGGCACCCATCGGCCGTGAGAACATCGATGTCATCAAGGGCTCCGACATCCTCTTCTCAGAGTTCGAGTTCTCGACTCGGCCAGTCACTGCCTCGATCGTGTTCGGACTGGAGGACGATTCGCCAGTGACTTGGGCCCGTGACAGGCCCGACTCTACCCTCAATGCGCCAAAGTTTGGCGGAAACTCGGCCAGTGATCTGGCTAATCCTGCCAAGCAGATGGAGCTTCTTGCGCTCTGCACGGCCGTTGACCTGGGAAAGGACACTGCCAACACACGCTGCGGTACACGCGAATGCCTGGCGCGTGGCTCGCCCGTCGCTGGCAACTGCCCAGCTGACACTGCGGCTTGGCAGAGTGCTGGACTCTACATCCGAGCTGATGAGAGCTGCGTGACCTCCCGCTTCTGTTTCATGGAGGACCTGCTGTACTTCTGGGCATCCAAGCAGGGCAACTGCCCAGGAAAGGACGCCACCGCTTGCGCAGCAGCCGCTGGCTGTGCCTATGCGAGCGACACGATGAGCTGCTACTCGACAACCGACCCTCTCAGCTATTCAGGACTGTCAGAGAGCGACTTCATCTCTCTTCTGTCAACAGCTTCCTCGACTGACCCAGGGGTGACCGAATGGGAGGAATATATGGAGAAGAAGGCAAACTATCTGAAGAGCATCGACCGCCGCTATGAAGCCGACTTCATTTCCCAGTACACAGGAATTCGGCTAAACAATGACAAGACCGCGATTCAGTTCGCATGGGTTAGCTACAATGCTACCTTCCCGCGAGAGAACACTGTGGACGAGGCCAATGAGTGGTACAACCGCTGGGAGGAGTTCAAAGAGACACATGCCCCGAACCTGGGAGGCTTCCAGACGGCAGAGCTCTACTTATTCCTGGTCACTCAGAATGAGATGGTCAAGGCTGCCACTATGGGAATTGGCCTGTCCCTGTTGGTTTGCTGGATTGTGCTACTAGCGACGACATGGAACTGGTGGACCTCAACCTTGGGCCTGGTTTGCATCGTCTGCATCACAGCGACCTTCTTGGGTGTCGTGCCACTTCTGGGTTGGAGTTTGGGCGAGAACGAGTGCATCTTCATGATCGCCACTGTGGGTTTGTCAGTGGACTACACAGTGCACCTGCTCCATGCCTACAACAGTTCGCCTGCCAGGACGCGCATGGACCGGACCCACGCTGCCTTGGAAGAGATGGGCATCTCCGTTGCCAACTCTGCCATCACGACCCTCTTCGCTGCGGCCATGCTCTTTGCTTGCGGCTTCTATTTCTTCTTCCAGTTCGGGGGCTTCATCTTCATGGTCATCGGACTGTCCATCCTCATGTCCACCAACTTCCTGTTGCCTCTGCTGATGTTGGTCGGCCCGGAGAATGATCAAGGCAACCTCTGCTGCTACCGCTTCGCGAAGTCCACACCTAAGAGTATCAGTAGTGAGTGAAGTGAGCGTGCAATCTGGGTCTAGGCACCTGTACAGGTTCAGGGTCCTCTGAAGCTCCTCCCTGCAATAAAGTGCAAAGAGGCGAAGCCTCTTCGCAAAGCAGCAGCGAAGCTGCTGCCCCTTGTGTTAACATTCCAATGTACTAAAGTGACTCAAAGTTTCGAAAGCCACAATTACCCAGTCCTATAGGTTCCCACGAAGGAGAAGGACCCTGTTCAGCAACCGAGGCTGGTGGCGAGACCCCCGCCTTGGGGCTATTTTTGTGCCAGAAGCCCCAGACTTTGTACAAAGACCCCGGTTTTCCTTGAGGGCTCGCACGCGCCTAAGGCGCTTGCGCAGCTCTCAAGCTGCCCTCAGGCGACCCTCAGAACAGTTTTCGCACCTCTGTGGCTCCGCGGCATTTCTGTCAACTTTCCAAAGTCTTTGGATTGTGGAGTCGCAGGGTGTTCGTTTGTGGGCGGGAAGGTCAGGGTGCGCAGAAGTAGATCTTGCCAAGGCCCCAGTATGTTGCCCATTCACACAGAGCTGCACTCAGAGCTCCTCGAATCTGTTTGCTGGGTCAGGCACTATGATCCCCTTTGTTACTCTGTAGGTGGTCGCGAGATGCGTGGTAGTTGTTAAGAGGCCAATCCAAACTCATCCACGAAATCATCAGATGACTGGCTCTCGCGTCCGCCAAAGTCACGCCTCATATAGCAGTCGAGCATTGCCGCTGCAGTGGCGCAGCTCTTCGCAGTTTGGTATCGGTTCGATGCCTTTCAACTGCTGCTTTGCCCAGATCGGTATAGAGTTTACTCCATACTAATCGACAGTATGGCCTCAGTATATCTCTGACTGAGCTGGGTCATTCAAGTCGAAAACTTGACTGGGAGCCCCGCGATCACTAAAACCTGGGTCCGAGTGCTTGTCGACGGGGTAGGCCACGACACGCCGCACAACTGCGAAGCAATAGCATATCACAGCAGAGAGTGGCGGGTGGACCTCTCCGGAAGCTGTTTGGGCAGGACTTTTCCGGTCTGTATGCGCACGTTGCAAACGGGGATGTTGGCCAGAAGAAGGGCTGAGAGGACCAGCCCCTTGCAGCACAGGCAAACACCCTCGTAGATCTAGCTACACTAAAGCACCACCCCCACCCCCTTTTGGCTGCATCATATTCGGGTACCTCAATCTTAGCATGGTGCTGGAGAGGAGTCGCGAACCTGCGTCTTACCGGGTCGCTTGGGCCATCGCAGGACATCGCATGTGACAGCATGCAACAGACTGTTTCAAGTGTCTCTTTTGTACCTCTTTTGTACATACCAGTAGTAGCATCATACAGAGCTCCCGCCACAACTGTTTGGAATGGCGGGCTGAGGATGCATTATTTTGCGCATGTTCTACAGATGCATGGCCCATAGCATTGCTATGGACTCCGGCGATCTGCGATCGGATGAAACCAAGGGTTTCTCATGGATTTCTCAATTCTCCAGCCACTCCAAGTGGAATTCCAACCAGGGTTGCCAAGCTAATGGCTCACAGCTCGGTCAGCTAAGCTCGGTGAACTAAGGCATCTCCCAACCGCTACGTCCAGCACACACCAATCCAAAGCCGGCACGTGCTGCACATTTGCAGTCACGGAGCACTCCAGCGATAATCAGTTCGTGCGGGCTTGGTAGCGGAAACGCAGTTGCTGAGAATGCTGCCATGGCGATCGTCTGCCATCGCCGATGGAGTGTCCACCATGCTCTCGGACGTGCCCTTTCTCATGCTTTTGGCTGAACTCCGTAGAATTGGCTTGAGCTTCAGTCTTGCTTTAGGCTGAGCTCCACCTTCCAAACTTTGAGCCGTCAGGACTGCTTGCAGTGGCATCCACTTCTCTGTTGCTGTGGGCCGCTGCCTCAGCACCTTCGCGCCCTTCCCTAAAGCCAATTTTCTTACACCGAAACCTTCAACTCACGTTCCTCAAGCCTCGCCCCAAAAACCTAAACGCATCTGCACCTTCAGAACCCCATACTAAGCCCCGGCCCCAAAATTGCGAGCGCCAGGTGCTGGCGAAGCGGGCGAGGAAGGCCAGTTTAGCCACCCAGGGTTTAGGTCTCGGGGTCTGTGATTTCCAGTCTAGGGACAAGCTTCAGGGCCAGCTTAGGGGGTTTGGGAGAGCATCTGCCAGAATCCTCACTCAGGCAGCCGAGGAGGAAGACGACGAGTGGCAGCTCGTTGGAAGCAGGCAGGGCAGGGCCATGCCTTGAATCTCTGGGCCACGGAAGAGTCCAATCAAGAGACAACCCTAATCTCCCAAACTTCCTAAACCCAGAAAATGATTTGACATGTTATGTGCTCTGCAGGATCACTTTGCTTGACCAAGCTTGTGCCAGCGATCTCTTCCCTCTTAAGACCCGTGAAATCTGCGAAGCCTGGCTCAGTGGGGCTCTGTGGGCCTGTCTATGACCTTCGAAATCGGATTACTTACTAACAGAAGGCCACCCCTTGGAGTGGGGTGAGGACCCCATGATGCTACGCGGCCGCCTCGCCTAACATCCCAGGCAACCCAAACCGGAGATCGCGGGTGTGAAACAAGAAAACAAGAACCGGCGCGGGGGGGGGGAAGTGGGGGGGAAGGGGGGGCGGGAGGGGGCGCGGGTGGGGCTGGATGCCTTAGTAGTCCTGATTCACCTGTCGGCTACTCCATTCCAGGCAAAAACGTGCTATGTAAAGGGGGGAGGGGATTAGAGGCGGGGTACCTGCCTTATGCTACCCAGACACCTACGGCCCGAGGCCTCGGCGGATTTAGAGCAACCCGCCTTTCGCAGGTCTGAAATGGTGGAGGGGCCCTGCGGTCTGAGCCCGATGGGGGGGCAATTGTGGGGCAGACGGGCTGCAATGTCTAATTGTAGCGCCTCCGCACGTCTCGAAGCATCTTTTCTAACAAGTGCGTTCCTGATCAGGGGTTTCATCCAGCGGCTTAAAGCGTCTTTTCGCATGGTTAAGCATCTTTTCGGACGAGCGCCTTCCCGCCCGGAAAGTTGATAAAGCGCGTTTCAGCGGTTGTATAAGCAGCCCTAAGCGCCGATAAGTGTCCGTACCCTTCGAGCGTCTTTACACGCCTCTCAGCGTTTATCCATGTATGGAGCCTTTTAAAAGCCCTGATAAAGCGCCTTTAGCGCTTAATTGCGTTGAACACCTTTGAGCATGTTTTGGTGCCTTGAAGCACCTTTAAGCGTCTTTAAGCGTCTCACTTCTTTGACCGTCTTTACGCATTTCTCAGTGTCTTCAGGCTAGCACCGTTAAGCATCTTCGTAACAATCCCAAGGAGAATGCGAAGCCTCCCGAACATGCTAAAAGGGGAAGAGACTGAAGTTTAGAGAGGCGTGGCCGGATTTCTGGGGTCTCCGACAAAATAGCATAGCGGGGCACAAGTCGACGAAAAGAAGCTTCTTTGGAATGGAGGCGGGAATAAAGAGGCTTCCCCGGAAAAGGGGCTTAGAAAATTGATGCAAGTTTGCAGCCCACTCCACTTGAGCAAAGTGCCCTTGTTTGGAACAACCTCCATATTCTACGCCCAGGCTGGGATTTGCTGACCTTCGTGCTGGACGAAGGCCGCACGGCTTGCGTGCTGTGGATCTGGCATGATTTGGCAGCATGCTGGCAACTTCCAGACCTGTCTTGTGTAGTCGTCTGAGCTGCGCGAATGCAACGAAGCACCCCTGCGTGAACAGAACGACATGGGTGGTACAGTGGTACGGGTACTGTGAGCGCTTGCCAGGCACCGGGATGGGCAATGGCTTTCTTTTGACCGCAGCTGTCCCCATGCTGGCATCGATCTTCTTGGCGGAGATCTCGAGGAGCCGCATGGCACGGGCCTACGAAGGCTATGTGAGAACAAAGTTGAACAACACGCATGCCTCCTACCAGAAGCTGTGCCAAAAAAACCAGGGGTGGACTGTCCAACTTTGAGATGTCAGCCTGCAGGACCTCTCCGAGCTGGGAGCGGGGGTACAGCAGTCATGGTGGGACATTACCCGTCTCCTTTCAAGATCAATCTGGCCAGCCAGGTTGTGGTGGCTTGCCCGGCTCACACCTACCTCTTCGACCCAGTTGTTGGCACTTGCCTTTGGGACCCGCCTGTCATGAAGTGGTAGGCTCCTTGCATACTCCTGCACGGGGTCGAGCCTACAATGCTGCTGTGGAGGATGCCTCACGTGGTCTGCCGGAGACCCCGCCGCTGCAAACTTATGAGGCCGGGGAACTATCCAGTTACTGCGTGAGTTCTTCAGGCTGTACCGTCTCTGCCAGTGCCACCGCTTCGCGTTTTGCAAACACCACAGTCACTAGAGCTGTAGCAGATCGTGTCGATCGATGTCTATTCCATCGGGCTTAGATGAGAGGCATCGTGGAATTCTATCTGAGGTCACTGAGAGTTGCGGCAACATCCGCGTGCCCAAGCGGGTGACAGTGGGCACGAACGTGCAGTCATCGGGTTTAGGTACTAAAGCACTTGTGAGACCAATAGCTTCACTGCATCGTATGGTACCATGCAAAGCATGACGTCATTCATTTAGTGTCGGGCCAGCGGATATCATTTCGACCTCAAGCGTTGGTTCTGCCTGCCTAATGGAATTGAGAGCGCATACAGGATCCCCAACAAGACCTTACAGGGAGAGCGTTTGATAGCAGCCCTCAGGTACGCCCGAGACCACTGCCGGCACGACCATCCAGGGATGAGTGGGATCAGGTCGGGGCTGCTTTCGTGGCGCCCCCCCCCCCCCCAATAAGCTTTTAGTTGACGTTGTCGATGATGTTGTAATGATGACTCCAGGGGATTCCGATGTGAGCGCCATGTAGCTGCCAGAGAAGGGTCACGCAAGAAGCCATGGATGCTGGCTGAGGAGAGTGTATGAGCATGCCAGCAGGCTCAAAGTGCTATTGAATCAGCGCAGCTACATCCCGCAGCCTTACAGTAACCCTCCACCCCAACAACCCGACGTCCTCAAAACCCAAGTTAGACCCAAATCGTACGCCCTGAGCCCCTAAGGTTAACAAACGCCCCCAAACCCTCAACAAGCCGTAGCCTTCATTGTGACAGGCACGAGCAGATCAGCTGCAGCTCGCTGCGGTGGACAAAGCGTTCATGGCCCAGTCGAGGGCTCCGGCGAGTGACGGTCAAGGATTTAGGGTTTAGGGTTTAGGGTTTAGGGTTTAGGGTTTAGGGTTTAGGGTTTAGGGTTTGGGTTTAGGGTTTAGGGTTGCAGTATGGGTTTAGGGTTTAGGACTCAGGGGTTTGGGGTTAGGGTTGAAGCGGGACTTTCAGATTTTGGTAGTCTTCAGTGGCCTTCACTGGTCCGGGCCTACCACCCAGAACAGCTAAACCTTCAACCCAATTAGGAACAATCCCCCAAATGTAGGCCCTTACCAGCACCCAAGTGATGCTATCCCTGTAATGGAATGGCAACTGTGGCACTGAGGTTGGAGAGGAAATTTCCTGATTGAGGACTGAGCTTAAACTTGGGCGAAGTGATCGTCTTCATGCATCGGGTCTCAACGTGAAGTGCGGGGCGGCCGGCGACCGGACATCCGTGTGCCCGCAGCTGTGCTTCTGCACGCTCGGCATGTTCTTGGCCAGCTTCAAGTTGCAGGGGATTGCACCAAGCTGCGCGTGGCCGCAAGCATGTGCATTCCATCGCAGTCTGCTCAGAGGGCAAAAGCTGTGACTCCGATCAGTTGGTACTGGAGTTTCATGACAGCAACAGGAGCGTTAACACAGCTGGAGGCCACATCGCTACTCTTGGAGTTGCTGAGGCTTAAGACTCCCACTGTGGAAGCCAACGGGGTGCCACCTGTAATACACGGCCTCAACATGAAGCCAGCGCAGCAATCTCTCAACACATCTCAAATCATCTCAATACCACAGCCCTGTGACCCGAGCCGTGTCGTCACGGGTAGTCCCGAATTCGCACGTGCTGCCAATCCGTCCCGCAACTCGGACAGCACGGTGAGTCTGACCCTTCATCCAGAAATAATTGGTGAGGAATGATAAAGTCAGCTTTCAGATTTCTCATCGTGGGGGTATCGCGCCCAAGGAGTTGTGGGCTGAGGGCTGCTGAACCGAGCGGCCCTGGGTCCTGCATTTATGCTCTCGCTCCTTGTCTGCACTGTGAAGTTTTGAGGTTTCCGTTTCTACCGAGAGACGAAGACATCCGACCAGCATCGAGCCAACCTGCATCAGCGATCACGCGCAAAGCATGCCACTTTCATGCCATGTGAGGGCTTCCAAGAGCCTTTGTGAAGCTGGACCGGCCATTTACCGAGTTTACCAAAGCCGAAGGTGTGAAGGCTAAGAGGCTGGAAACAGGAAGTCACACTTGGAACCTTGGAGAGCTTGCCTTCTCCCCCTTGTGGTGATATCTCGTGGTCCATAAAGCCCAGAGCAGCTCTGAGTGAGTCAGCAGCATCAAATTGCTGCAAAGGCGGGTGATGCTGCCTCCTGGCACGAGTCTGTCCAGAGCCATGTCGACAGGGCCTTGTACCCAGAAATGAGGGTCACTTCGGGACTGTTGTGGAAGAATAGCGATGACAGCAACATATGAAGGCGCTGAGCAAGGGAAGTATGTTTCATCCTTCGGAGTATCCTCTAGGAGACCCCGTGAAGTACGTGTTAGATTTGGTGCGAAGTATTGTTTTATAACGCCGCAGAAGATGGCAGACGCCTAGGAAGAGGTTCCGCGATGCTTGCCATCTAGATATAAGCATGTACTGTATGCAGCTTATTCCCGAAGATGTGTGCATGGCAGCGACCCTCGTCAAGAGCTGCTTTCCCAAAGGCTTACTCACTCTAACATCCTGTTGACACTAGACATGTCCTAAACTCCTCAGCAACCCAGGCTCTTCTTTCTGATGCTGTACTGTTTCGCTTGGGCCTCGGAGCACTTTTGCAGCTTGGTTTTGGTATACCTTGAGGTAGTGACTAGTCTGCAAGATTCCGCAAGTATCCCGACTAGGCTGCAAGGCTGCTGTCCAACTGGTTGCACGACCTGTGGTTGCATGTGGTTGCACGTGTTGACATTTGCATGCTATCTTCTGGGGCCGAATCTGGAGTGCAGGCTTGCTGATTGTGTGAATATTCGTGAACGGTCAGTGAACGTGCCTGATATTTGGCCGCACAAAAGTGTTGACCAGGAACAAGCAATTTTTCGTCGCTTGCTTGCAGAGGTCTGGACAAGCTGGTATATTGTCAGCGGCTGAGAGTTCCACCTTTGCACCTAGCCCTGTAGGGCGGGTCTTGCAGGCATTTTGGAGTCCAGGGACAGCTCCCACACCGAGTGTTCTGAACATGTCTGTTGGTGAGGCTTCCCAGATGTTCTTCCATAAGGAGCGGCATCTATATAGTTTGTGTTGGCTCCGTAGAATGGGCTTTGGCAGGAAGTACCTCAGGAGACATGCACCCCGTGAATGACTGCAACTGCAACCAGATGCCTGCTTGCTATACGCTTCGTAGGGTGTGATCTGCGAGACATCTCGAACATGCACACATCGTCTTTTCTGCCGGTCTGGGCTACAGCAGACAAGGTCCAACACCTGATCCCGAGCATCATGTTCTAGTGTCTGCACCCTTTGTTTGTAGGCTTGTTCCAGAAGCAGGGGCTTGGTGGGGTTTGTGCCGCTTCTACCCTTTGGGGCAGAAGCCGGTGAGCTCATCCATGTGCCCTGCTTGGCGGCTTTTTTGGGAAGTCATGAAGACTGCGCAAGACCTCTGATGTGTGCGCCACATGCAGCCTGTAAGGTGCAGATAAAAAGAACACACTGAGCTGATCTGAGCAGAGTACACCGCTTCACACTGCTTTCACGTTGGTCAAAACAGTACAGGCTCAAGATTGTGTGCGGCAGCAGCTCGGATTACCTTTATAGAGCCAACATCATATATGAAGCTCGGAGAAAGTTATCACACAGCACCCAAAATAAAAACAAACGAAGCACACACTCGCAGCACGTCTCCCAATAAGGTCACAATGCCATGTGACACCAGTGTACGACGGTGGTCTAAATTCTAAACGACCTTGATGGCCCGGCACCCTAAACCGAAACCTTGAAGCCTAAAACCTTAAAACGCAGATACCAAGACTCCATATGAGCCAATGAGGCCTCTGGGGCGGACCCCTGTGGGGCAGAGCGGCGCGCGGCAGATGCCATGGAGGTGGCCGACTTGTGGCTACCCCGTCAACTTTGAACCCCAAACTTAGCGACGGCTCGCTGTAGGTGTGCCCGAGCAGCACGTAATGCAGAGCAGCCAGTGTGACCCAGGCGGAGGTCCTGAGATTGAAGGAGGCACTAAATGCCCGTCAAGGACGGTGGGAACCATTCAGGGTGTATGGTTTGAGGGGGACGGGGGGCGCTTCGAAGGTTTTGCTTGGACTTTCGGGCTTAGTGGTTAAGTGCTTTGGAGATAGTTTCAAACGATGCTCTCCCTGCCATTGTGCAGGATCTCTGGACACTGCGAGCACGCTATGAAAGAAGAAAATATGAGGTTAATTTCCAGATATGAAATCATTTCTGGTTCCTTGGTTTTTTTTGAAGTGATTTCGTCAATATCCGACCCGGTCCTTCTTCTCCTCCCCTTCAGGGATCGTTCCCTCGGGCTTGGGTTTCTTCTTTCTTTTCCGATTCCAGATCCTTTGGATTATTTCTTCTCCTCTCCATCTAGAATCGTTCCTTTAGATCCCGGACTCTTTCCTTTCAGATTCTAATTCCCTTGATCGTTCTAGGATTGATATATTTTCGCGTCATCCTCAGAAGTGGGAATTGATCTTGCTTACGTATGCAGACGCGACCGCATAATTTTTTCTAAGACATTTTGGAATAAATCAACAAACTCTTTAGTCTCTTATTCACATATATATATATAATA